CATGCTTATCTCTCTATTTTGGCCGATTTCTACTCTTTCCAGCCGCCTCCTCAAGCCTGGTAGAGGCTAGTGTATTGGTTAGAAGCGCTGACCGTTTCCAAAATCATATCCATGTTGCTTGAGTAACCGCTTCTTGGCGTATCTTATTACCTGAATGTCTAACATTCATCGACGTATTGGTTAGAAGTATTACATGTATATTCCTGGATAAATAACCTTCATAAACATGCAAATAGAGAAGTGTATCAAAAGACATAAATTGACTTAATGTGTAAAAATGCTTCTATATGAAAGAAAAAAACTTTTCGCCCAACGTGGGGCTCGAACCCACGACCCTGGGATTAAGAGTCCCATGCTCTACCGACTGAGCTAGCCGGGCTGTTATGACGACAAATGACAACCCGAGCAGGTTTAGACAACGTCCCCGCTTTCCTTTGATAAACAGGTGGGCATTTCGGACATTCCATTAAAAAAAATTACAAGATACTCGCTGGGCTACACTACTACACATGTTAGTACGTTTCAATCAAACTAGAGCAATTAAAATATTTACAGAAACTATATTTTATTGAAAAAGAAGATGTAAAAAAAAACAACTTAGCAGCGGGTGGTTTCGATCCACCGACCTCTGGGTTATGGGCCCAGCACGCTTCCGCTGCGCCACGCTGCTGGTTGTGTCACTTTTGACGATGATTTGAAGCATTAAATCTGGTAAAACTTCGGTAAATTATATCATGTCTTCGAGTAAAGAAAATAAGAAGTACACAAAACACTTACCAAGCCCCAGAAAGGCACCGAAGACCAGTCCAAGTAGGAACTTCAGATACGCATACTCGTGCGGATCACTCCGAAAGAACCTGCAAATAAAGAAACTGCTTTTCTTCTTCTTCCCAACGCTCGTCGCTGGTTTCTTGCCTTGCTTCTTCTTGTCGCTTGAGGTCTTGATTTTCTGTCCAGCCATTGTCTGTTTCTGAAATGGTCCCTCTCCAGTTGGTTGTTTTCCTCTGAAAAAAACAACAACGCTGTTATCAACAAAAAGAAAACAAAATAAGTTTGGGCAATTTTTATTGCTGTGCTGTACTCTGAAATATTTTATCACTCGATGAGCAACATAAAAATTACATACAGACTCTTATGAAGATTACAAGTAAGAAAAAGAAAAGAAAAAATACCAAAAAGCATCACACTTCGTCTCAAGTACTGCGCTTCAAATCTTCCCAAACTATAAAAATATATTTTTAAGAACGCGACTCACTTAAAAAACATCATGAAAATTTATCAAGAAGTACTTGATTCGTTTTGTTTGTAAACAAGCGCATGTGGCAAAACATTGTCAGTTTTATAGATGGAGGGAAATTATCTAATGTCCTGTCCTTATCTTATGTAGCATCTTGTCCTTGTCTCCAGGGTTAGCCGTTTAAAATACTAGTAGTCTTGTCACTAACTGGGCAACCCTGGCTGTCTTTTGTACAGCTGAACCAATTAAAAATAAAGTAAAAAAAAAGATTTAGCAGCGGGTGGTTTCGATCCACCGACCTCTGGGTTATGGGCCCAGCACGCTTCCGCTGCGCCACGCTGCTGTTTGTAGCGTTTGTTTCGAAAGTTGTTGTCTTGTTGTTTGATCGTTGACAATCAGACAGGCCAAATCACGAATACAAGGTAGTGAATTCCAATCCTTACCTTGCTATCGTACTGCACGAACGCTCTGTGTATGTAGACGTTATAAGCACTCGTTCCTATATATCTACAGAAAACCGCACCTCAAACTCAGAAACGAAACGGCCTGTGACTTACCTGTTCACCTGGGATAGAACATTAGAGCGGTGTTCTTTAGAACGGCCTCAATGTATCCGTTGACGCTTTTGTTTGTTTCCACGATCTATCGACGGGTTGTTCGATACACCACAGATCACCCTGTAAACAAAGAATTAAAGATAGACTCACGGGTGCAGCGGACTAGACAACCATGTTTTGAGTACTTCATAGAAGACCCAGTGACTAGAGAGTTGGGTAGGGATATGGGGGGAGGCAAAGAGCCTACAAAGTGTTTTAGATAGAGCAAGGACAGTATACAGACGTCCTTGGATAGAGGGAAGTTTTTGTTTCATTTTGTCAGGATTTTCGTGTGAAAATTACCCAAGATGTCGGCGGTCCTAAAGGCCATTGGCAAAGCCTGCTTCAAGTGCTTCGGGAAGTGTTGCCGGAAGTGCTGCCAGAAACTGGGCAAGAAGTGCGCCAAGCAATGCGCTAAATGCTGCCGGAAGCAGTGTCAGAAATGCATCAAAAGACGCGCCAAGAAGTACGCCAAAACCAAGGCACAAGAGATGATGGAGAAACATGGGGAAGTAAAGGCGTCAGCGCACATCGAGAGGGTGAAGCTGCTGGCTAAACAGTACCACCCGATGGGCAAGTGGGACGAGAGGTGCTCGTGCACGATTTGTATCAAGTGCGTGGAGAAGTTGTGCTGCTGTCGTACCGAGTTGACCGAGTCGTCCAACCCCGTACGCAGGTGTTGCATCCCGGGGACGAGGGAGAACAGCATAGCCAAGATCTTCCTCGGCTTTCTGTGTAAGTAAACCGGCAACAGAGTCGGAAGTTTTGTTTTGAGTGGCTGTGAGTTTGTGCGTTTCGTGTCATTATATCATTCCAAGTATCAAGTAGGGGTAGGATCGATATATCTTATTTCCTGTTTTCAATGCATTTCATTTGTACCTGCTAATAATATATTTAAAAAAAAGTGCTACGTACTTGCATGATACCTTACGGGAGCTGGAACATACGTAGACAAATTTGGAAATTCACAGTATTTTATCTAGTGAATTAAGAATTTCAAAACACTAAAAGTATTTGTGAGGTATGAGTTCTATGATTTCTTCTTGTCTGTGTTCATACATATTGTATCACTTATATAAAATAGCGTATGGTGTTTACTTTAAGTTATATAGTACTCCTTTGCATTGTCAGGTAAACCATGTTTCATATAATGTATATTGTACAAATCATATAAAAGTTGAATAGTATTCATTGTTCAGTAGTCTTACGTAGAACTCCATAGCAGTGTTACGGTGTAGATACTAGATTTTTTTAGTTGCAGTAACTTGTTATACATTGTACTTGTTACAACTGATGTGCATCAAAGTTTGATGCACAGAAAACTTTGGGACCGGGACACCGGGACCTCAACACCGGGATATCAGCAAACCAAGAGGTCCCGGGTTCGAGTCCTGACATGCCACCGATCTTGTGCCCTTGGGAAAGGCACTTTACACGACTTTCCTCACTTCACTCACGTGAAAATGAGTATTGTCCTGTCCTGTATTTGTACTCTTCGTTGGTGGCGGTATGAAATAAGTTGATATAACTTGAGTGTGCCGTCGCCATGTTTGGTCATGAAATGTTGAAAAAAAAAGTTTGATTTGTGTTGCGTTGTAGCTGGTTTGTTGCTGACGGTTATCCTGTACTACCTGATGATCCACCACATGAACTACGCCAAGAGGAGCGCGGATGTAGCGGGCTGTGTGCTGGGAGTTATCCTGACTGTAGGCATGGCCGGCTCAGCCAAGTTCCGCTGTACCATCCTCCTCATGCTACCCAACTTCTTCTCAAGTAAGGACGACTTATGACAAAGTTTATGTTTACCTTCGTATGTCGCTTTCTTCCTCTTCTTCTTCTCCAAATATATAAGGTCTATCACGAATATATCATCTTTCATCTATCATGAAAGTTCATCTGTGTTGGTGAAGTTTAAGTTAAAACTTTTGGTCCAACAGTCACTCTGGTCTTCCTCAGTAGACTGACCAAGTGAGGCTTGTCACGTGTACGTCAACACAGGCCCCGAGGGTCAGTAGTACTGAGGAAGTCCAGAGTGACTGGTCGAAAGCTCTACGTGAGAGAATTTTTTGGTATTGGATCAAAAGTTTCAACTTTAAACTTCCATGAAAATGATTTGCATCTTTTCCTTAGGTCGCGGCCGCTCTGTTGCTATGGCCTACGCCATGGTACTGGTCATGTCCGGGCCTTACGTCAACCTACAACATAACATCGAGGTGGGGTCACGGAGCATGTCATGTGGCGCAGCTTTGGCCGCCAACCAATCAGAGGCTTTGGCTGATCTCATCATGTCGCCAGTCTCGCGTGAGTGCACGAGATTTTAATACTACTCATTAGCATAATCACGTCAGTTCTCGCGATGCCTGAAGCAGAGAGCCACACTTGATGTGTTTCGTGTCAGCAAAGATGATATATTGTATGTTTCATACTTTATCATTCATTTCATAAGCAAATTCTAGAGTCCTGATTATACAGAAATGGGACTTGACTAATAAAAATATATTGGGCGAATCAAAGGGTTACCAGATCGCCAAACAACTGAGTTGACTGAAACAAACTCAAGACTTAATCCTCGGTATGTAGCCCGGCTAGCTCAGTCGGTAGAGCATGGGACTCTTAATCCCAGGGTCGTGGGTTCGAGCCCCACGTTGGGCGATGAATTTTTTTTTATTCTACAATAACTAATTTTTTGTTCATTCTACAATAAGTAAATTATATTCGCAGAAATTATTTAAAAATTCTATTTAGGTTGACAACCGCATTGTTTCGTTTGTATTCAGTACTACATTTGTACTAGGATTGCAATGCTTATTTTGTATGTTGCCACAGACATTATAGATGCTGTAGAAGCCGTCATCCAACAACTAAAGGAAGCAGCAGAAAAAGCCAAGAAAGGTTTCATAGCCGTCAGAGACGCTATGGTGGCAGTAGGTGCGTGCTGACTTCTCCATATATAGTTCAGGCGCTTAGGCCACAGCAAGTAATTTTTTGAATGACATCAGTGCGCCCATTAATTTTCGCCTGAATCTAAAAAAAAAAAAAAAACCCAAGAAATTTTGCCCTCTCACAGTGGTCAACATGCCGAAAATGGGTAAAGATGTCTGTTACCATGCCGGAAGGTGGATGGCAGATAACTATGAAGAGAGGAGACAAGAAAATGCTCTGAGTTAATGTTTTGTTTCTTACTTTGATGCAGTGATATGTGATGCTGGCTGTGTATATGTATTGTTCCCGCTGAATCAAAACCATTTGTACAATAATTGAGTCAAAATTTGAAAATGTAGGAACCTTGCTTTTTCGGCCCGCCTCGTTTTTTTTCGTCCGCTCGCATTAGATTTGGAGTCTGTGGAGGATGTCATCCATACAATTTACTTTCTGTGGCCTTATATACATAATGCTAGCCTCACCACTAAACAATTGGAAAACGCGACGTAAGAATGGGATAAAAGTACAAACTTAACAAAATATGACAGACGTACATGTCATGATGATGATAAACTTGATAAATATGAACTATAAGAAATATTAATCAATATACCATAAACGGATAGAATGGCATAACAAAAATTCCGTATAAGTTAGTAGTACTAAGTAACCCTCTGTTGCATCAGCCTTATGAAAGTGTAGTTAGGCCATGTTGATTTGATTATATGGATGACATCCTCCGGGAGCCCAAAAACTGATGCGCGCGTGCGAATAAAAAAAGTTTTGACAAAAAAAAAAGTTCTTTTCATTATGAAATCTACGTGGTCATGAGGGTTGAGCAAATGGCACAGAATATGGTTTGGCGAATAATCTAGTCTTCAAGTTCATTTCTTTACAATTTCGTCTTTTTTCGTTTGATTTTGGCATTCTACGACATTGGTATAGTTTTTATTAATTTTTTTTGTAACTTATGGTATATTTTTGCTCATTTTGCAACTGTTTCGTACGATTTACAGTATGGTTGAAAACTTTTTTTTTTTTTGGAAACGGCCGAAAATTCATGCGCGCGCGGATGTCATCCATATAATCAAATCAACATGGCCTTATCTTAAATACCCTGTACGATAAAGTTATTATCATATTCTACTAAGGAACGACGCCTTGAAAATGACCATATGTTCATCACCACAGGTAAAGCCATCAAGAAGGCGGCAGAATGGCTGGGAAACTTGGGGAAGGTGTGTAACAAGAAACTCGGGAAGCCCCGAGACATATGCATCAATGAACTCAAAAAGGCGTACAAGGACTGCCGCAGCAGGGGCCTCACATTCTTGTGCGAGGTCGTCAACGTTGGAGAGCTTTGCAACATCGCGGATGGTAAGGCCACATTGTGGGGCCGTGTGGCGTAGCGGCAGCGTGCTCGACTCGGATTCGAGTCCTGACATGCCACCGATCTTGTGCCCCTGGGAAAGGCACTTTACACGACTTTCCTGTGTATTGTCTTGTCCTGTATTCGTCCTCTGCGTTGGCGGCGGCATAAAATAAGTTGATATAACTTGAGTGCTTCGGCAGCCTGGGTGCCATCCTCTAGAGTTACCACCGGCTCCGTATTGTCGCTAACTACCATGGAGTACCCAGGCTTAGAGCCAAGCTAGAGCTGTTTTTTTCTAGAACAGGCGAAAATCAATGCGCGAGCGGATGTCACCCGTAAAATCAAGTCGGTGTGGCCTTATAAAGGCAAATTAATTCTATCTCATAGCATATTGATACTAGTATTTAATATGTGGGAACCCAAAAATAAATAAAAAAATAAAGAGACGCCCCACGTAATTTGTTTGTTTGCTACTTCAAACGCGTCAGTATGAAATAATGACGAAAATATGCTAAGAAATGACAGTAAATGTTAATCTAATATTGTTCATCCAGAATATTTTCGTTTTACCGCCGAGAAATTGCATTATATTAGACCTGAATCTAAACTTTGAAAAGTTGTCAGAAGTTTTCTCTAAGACTAGTTCGTGATGTTAGTCGGTCGAAGTCTACAGGTGAGGTATAAGTTTAAAAATTAAAGCGATAAAATATATATAGCAGCAAGTTTATACAAAAAAAGTAGAAAAAAAGTATTAGCAGTGGGTGGTTTCGATCCACCGACCTCTGGGTTATGGGCCCAGCACGCTTCCGCTGCGCCACGCTGCTGTCTTAAAGAGGACTTAGACAAGTCGACAAATCTTTCTTCAGTCTTGGGCGCGTGAATCAAAGACCTCTTTTGTCACAACGTTTAGTCAGTTGGTATTAAGTTGCAGCATCACAGCCCGGCTAGCTCAGTCGGTAGAGCATGGGACTCTTAATCCCAGGGTCGTGGGTTCGAGCCCCACGTTGGGCGATTTTCATTTTGATTTTTTTTTCTTTCAGAACTAACTATCACAGCAATCTCATCACTTATTCTGGTGACGATACATATCCTTTTATTCTGTCATATACTGATGATTTGTTCGGCATTTTTTGGGTTGAAATGTTTTGCAACTTGACAAATTTCTTTGCAATTAGCCGACATTGGCTTTTCAAATAGGGGACAGTTAGTAGAATATTCTTCAATCAGTGACTGTTTTTGAAAGGTAAAAACACGTACCTCCAAATTTTCGATGTCGACTGTACATCTTGATCACGGAGTGACCTAGTCTCGCGAGAAGTCACTGATTGGATGACCTAGTCTCGCGAGAACAGTCACTGATTGGATGACCTAGTCTCGCGAGAACAGTCACTGATTGGATGACCTAGTCTCGCGAGATCAGTCACTGATTGGATGACCTAGTCTCGCGAGATCAGTCACTGATTGGATAACCTAGTCTCGCGAGATTAGTCACTGATTGAAGAATATTCTACTAACTGTAATCTTACGTGACTGATGAACCTCTTCAACAAATGGGGGGCGTTAGAAACAATGTCGTCAATGGGAAATGGTTTAGAATATTTTTCGTTTGGCCGGATTTTTCTAAAAAGCGTTTTGTAAATAACTGGCATGCACTGTACTTAAACAACATTCTCATCACAGCTAACGTGTGTTTTTGTCTGTTCTGTCCAAAAGTTGTTACCGGTGCGGTTTTCTGTTACATCCCGGACAAGATCGGGAAAATGGCGAAAAAACTTATTGTTGCCCGTAAGTAAATATTCCTAGCCTCTACCAGGCACCGCGAATCGCTGGAAAAATAGTAGAAATTGGCCGAAATAAAGGGATAGTATACCAGAGAAGATCCAGGGCCATAGAAGCTCCAATTTGCGACCCGTGGCCCTGGATCTTCTCTGGTATACTATCCCTTTATTTCGGCCAATTTTTACTATTTTTCCAGCGATCCGAGGTGCCTGGTAGAGGCTAAAATATTCCAACATTGTCAGCGTTTGTGATATTACTTTGTGATATCATTTACTAAAGTCTTAAATCTACTATTTTCTGCTTATATATATCACGAGACAACCTTTGCTACTACATTTGTATCAGCTACAGAAAGTATGAATCACAAGTATATATAGTGACAAAAATACCTCGAATGCCAAAGAGCAAGTGAAACTGTCTAGCATACATTTTACTTTCATGTCCTTTTATATTTTGTCACTATATAGCATTGCGTTAGCTTATAGATAAATCTGAGATTTGTTTGGTTATATCTAGATTTTCTTTAGTTTATTTATCATTAGCTATTATTTTGTTAGCTTCGTGATAAATATTTGGTGTTTGTTTTGTTATATGTAAGTTTTCTTTAGTTTATTTATTATTAGTAAATCATAGCATTGCGTTAGCTTATAAATAAATCTGAGAGTTGTTTGGTTATATCTAGATTTTCTTTAGTTTATTTATCATTAGCTATTATTTTGTTAGCCTCTTGATTAATATTTTGTGTTTGTTTTGTTATATTTAAGTTTTCTTTAGTTTATTTATTATTAGTTATTATTTATTAGCCTCATGATTAATATTTGGTAGGTTTCTAGGAGGAGGACATTGTACAAGCCTTACAGGATTCTGTCCTTCTCCTGCACACTGTTTTGATTTCTTTGTTTTGCATTTGTTGATTAATGTTTTTATTTGTGCAAATAAATACAATATGTTGCCTTTTTTAATATAAATAAATAAATACAATATGTTGCCTGTATTTATTTGTGCAAATTAATACAACACAATACAATATGTTGCCTTTTAGAGTTTCTTTCTTTGCTTTATCTGCTTTCAGCGGCCGTAAAGGTGATGGAGAATTTGGAACACCAGTTTTACTTTGACGTGGACATCTTTCACAACTACACTCTTATCAAGGACGTATCAAAATCTGGCAAGGAGATAAGGGTAAGTATTGAAGAAAATTAAACTGTTCTCCAACTCAAAAACGAAATTAAGTCACCAGAAATTTTCGACTGAATCGCTCAGTCTTCATCAGCTTTATGACCCAAATGCTGTGCATGTGCTAAAAGCCACGTGTGACGTCAGCACTGGGTCAAAGGTCGTTGGAAGTCGGTACCGCCCCCCGTATTGGGTCATAAAGCTGATGAAGACAGTGATTCAGTCGAAGATTTCTGGTGAGTTAATTTCGTTTTGGAGTTGGAGTTGGAGAACAGTTTAATTTTCTTCATGTATTTTACCAACTCAGATGAACTTTTATGCTAGTAAGGGTAAGTATTGTCTTTCGGGAGTACATGTATCATACTTGCATAAAATTATCAAGTACATTTTACACAATGTTGCTAATGTATAGCAAATGAAACAAAGTTCTAGAATGGCATTATAACATTGTAAATGAAAAAAAAAATTACATCGCCCAACGTGGGGCTCGAACCCACGACCCTGGGATTAAGAGTCCCATGCTCTACCGACTGAGCTAGCCGGGCTACATGACTGCCTCTTCCTATTAGTTAGAGATGTGTAAAACAAGTCACAGACAACTCAGTTGGTGATCCTGGTTGTACATATAGAATACAACACGGGGTATTCCGTATCGCCCGAGGTACCAGCCCGACCGCGCGTCGGATCGCCCGAAGGCCGGAGGGAGATCCGATCCGCAGGAGGGCTGGGTGTATTTTATTTATGTCATACCCACCCAAGAAAACACACCTTTCAATGCGAAATGAGCGAAAATTTGGTGTCCCTAAAACCAAAAAAATGCAACAACGTCAATTCCAACGTCCGAATTTTGTATTCGAAATTCGAAAGCGGCACACACAGTTAGGGCGAAACTCGCTCGAATCGTCCTATGGAACATTTGGAAGCCCCGGGCCGTACGCGTTAAGAACCCCCGGGCCGTACCGCTAGTTATCACACGGGCCGGAACACCCGTATCGAACGTAATCGCGGCCCAGGTATGACATAATGTGCAGTATTTGTTCCATCTACAAATTATAAGCGGGCTATCGTTTGATACATGTACTTAATACTATTATGCACTAGCCTTGCATGCAATGAACATAAGCTTTGCCTTTACAGGAAGAAATAATGCAAGAAATCAAGGGCAGGACCGAGACGTTTAGAAAAATGATCAGAGCAGTAAGCAACGTCATGGTCATCACCTTTCTCGTCTTGTACATCAAGTAAGTTGGGAACGCCCCGGATTACACAAAAAAATTGTTACTCAAGCAACTGGACAGGTTTTGAACACTGTTACACATTTAAAGTAGCATCCCCCACTGACGAAAAATAGTGGATGCTACTTAAAATGTATGACAGTTTTCAAAATCTATCCACTGGCAGTTTCCTGCCTAACAATTTCTTGTGTATCTCATTACCTGGATGTCTAACTTTATAAAATATAATATATACTGTATCGACGTAATAACAGTTTAGTTCTAGATATGTCAATTATTAAATGTCATAGTTTCTATGTATCTTAGATATGTATTGCATAAAGTTTAAAAGAAATGTCAGCCATAATTTAAAAAAAAAATTAGCAGCGGGTGGTTTCGATCCACCGACCTCTGGGTTATGGGCCCAGCACGCTTCCGCTGCGCCACGCTGCTGATTGTATTCCTGATTGCTTACCTGTCAATTAAGCCAATCACATAGACATCACCTATTGACAGACAATGGCTTGTCTTTACAGTCATTTCCATTTTGTAAGGACCCCCTGGGTGTTTGTTGTCATGTGATTATGACGCAAGAATTGTCCACCATATCAGATGGTTAAGCATTAAGGTTCCTATAGCTACGCAATTCTGAAAGCTTTCTCGACGTATGGAAATACTTAACATATAGTTGCAAGAAACACATGACCCTGATGAGTTAGCTATGGCGACCTCAGGCCTGTCTGAGGACTACGTTCCAATGAAACCCCAGAATGCAACTGCGCTAGGACCCGGATGTTCGAATTCGTTAACTTCCAGGACCCGGATGTGTTTCTGTGTCATCAGGCTGAACAACGTGTTAATGAAGTAATCGTTAATCATATTTACCTTCGCAGAAGGAAAAGTTCCAAACAAGCCAATGTCCTAGACCAGTCGTCTGTCACCATGGCAACTTGTGCTGCAGCAACACCCCGTGGTGTTGGGTTACATTACGTAGCAGAACAGAGTTGGAGAGCCTTCTCACCATGCATACGAATGTATTTAGCTTTCAGAAAGAATAAACAGAGCAGTAGTTTGTTGGGCTAGACCAGGTGAAGACCACATTATGTGGCGTATTCGGCTCGGAACCAAGAGGTCCCGGGTTCGAACCCCACCTTGTCACTGATCTTGTGCCCTTGGAAAAGGCACTTTACACGACTTTCCTCACTTCACTCAGGTGTAAATGAGTACCTAGCTTTGGTTAGGGACGTTCCTCGGATAAGACGTGAAATGGAGGCCCCGTTAAAGATCCCACCACACCTTTCGAAAAAGAGTAGGGGCATGTCCCGGTGTGCGATGGTCCAGATACATCTGATTATTCACTGCGGACTCCAGGAAGAGTAGTGGGAAATTCACACTAATGGAGATCCCAAACAAACAAACAAACAAACAAGCAAACAAACATTGTGCATTTTTTTCTCTCCTCAGGGCCGCTAGCTACCGACGAAAGTACATGACGAAGGACAGGTTTGACAACTTGTACATCACGGAAGAGTTTAAAGCGATGGACAAGAAGCGAAATGACATGTGGAAGGAGACTGTCCTACCTCTGGATTACAGGGACTACTACAGATACATCCACCCCGGTACATGTCCAGATTATCTTTAAATTCCTCACACAACATATTACTATCAATAGATTAGATTAGTATAATTAGTGTCTCTTTATTGTTATACATTGTTTATGAAAGCAGACCAGATTCTTAGTACAGTTAGTAGAACTGTTAGACATTTTTAGCATCACCAACTATGTATGTATGTTAGCTTCACAAACTATGTATGTATATTTTGCCATACGTTGTATCCGCTACATCTGTTGCGCAATAAAGTTCTTCTTCTTTCGTGGAAATATTTTAATGGCCGAATCAACTGCATGGACTCAGGATATTTCAGCAGTTCGGTTTCTGAAAGTTACATTGTGTGATGAATTTTGCAACCACAGTCGTCTCAAATGTTCGCCATTTACTCGTACATATTCAGAGGCTTGGTACTATTATCTAATTTCTTTTTCTGTTGGTTTCTTGCAGCGGGTTTCCGCTTGCGCAATTAAAGGCAGAGAGGACCAAGCTTTAGTACAAAACCAGAGGTCCAAGCTTAAAAAAACTTTTTGTCTGTTTCTTGCAGCGGGTTTCCGCTTGTGCAAGGCGGAGAAGTCCAAGCTTTAGTACAAAACAAGAGGTCCAAGCTTGAAAAAACAAACAACTTTTTGTCTGTCATGAAAGTTCATCTGTGTTGGTAGTTACATGTTTAGAGGTAAAACTTTTGGTCCAACACAAAAAAAGTTCTCTCACCTAGAGCTTTCGACCAGTCACTCTGGTCTTCCTCAGCAGACCATATATACATCAGGGCCCATCACCCTTCACTAAACCGTGACGGGGGCCGACATCGTGTACCAGATACCTTTGACCCAGTGTTGACGTCGACACACTTCAAAGAAGCCATGTGACAAGCTTCACTGCGTCAGTCTACTAAGGAAGACCAGAGTGACTATTCGAAAGCTCTAGGTGAGAGAACATTTTTGTGTTGGACCAAAAGTTTTAACTCTAAAAAACTTTTTTTCTGTTTCTTTCAGCGGGTTTCCGCTTGTGCAAGGCGGAGAAGTCGAAACTCTGGAGGGGCCTGATCTTCTGGGCCATCAACGTGATCTACGGAGGTTTCATCATGGGGATGGACTGGGCGCAGTGGTGGCTGCTCATCATGGTCAAACTCAACGCAGACATGGAAATCGACGCTAACCGTGAGTCATCCATCCATGCCCGTAGCCGAGGGGGGTTCGGAGGGTTCGGAAGAACCCCCCCACAAGGCTCAAAGGTCCACTTTTTGGTCCACTTTTTATGCAAAGGTCCACTTTTTGGTCCACATTTTATGTAAAGGTCCACTTTTTGGTCCACATTTTATGTAAAGGTCCAAGATTTGTCTTGAAAAGATGGACTGGAATCGTAGAAAAACTGCTCCATTTGTCATTAAATAAAAATTTATCTCTGATTTTTTCTTGGAAATCCTCTCAAAAATGCACGAAATGCCATTTTAGAAGGTTCATTTTTCGAAATTTTCCGGGGGAGCATGCCCCCGGACCCCCCTAGGAACCTCCCGCCTTCGGCGCTCGCCTCGCGCCTATGGCGCTCGAGGTCCCCTCAAGCAGTGGGAACGACCCCCCCCCCCATTCAAAATCCTGGCTACGGGAATGTACATCCGTAGATGATTTTGTCAGGTTCGTGACTACGGTTGAATACAAGTTCATTTCGATAAAAAAAAAACTCCAAGCTGATTTTACAGCTCAAAAGACCTATTCGCCCAACGTGGGGCTCGAACCCACGACCCTGGGATTAAGAGTCCCATGCTCTACCGACTGAGCTAGCCGGGCTGATATATATATAGCATTAGGGAACACCACCTAAGCAAAAGATCCAACAACTGCATTGACAACTATGTTGCTGTTGTTGCATAATGCAAAAATAAATTAAGCAACTGGATAAATTCCCGGAAGAGCCGTCGTTTCAGATAGCATCTGCTCTCTTTCATCAGTGACTGAGACTCAGAATAAGTCTGAAGACAAGTGAACGAACCGGCACATACCGCATACCAGCTGTCACTCTTGTATGCATATGTGTATAGTAATCATAGCAATATAGTGTAAGTAAAGTATTGTTAGCTACTATATTGCTGTTCAAATGTACCTACTGATGCATTTTCCTCCCTTCCCCAGTCCCAACCCGTATCGGTATGCAGATACAGGAGACAGGATTCTGGCTAATCATGTATATAAATTCTTGCTGGCGTTTAGGCCACAGCAAATATATTTTATGGATGACATCCTCCGCAGACTCCAAATCTAATGCGAGCGGGCGAAAAAAAACAAGACGGGCCGAAAAAAACAAGGTTCCTACATTCTAAAATTTTGACTCAATAATGGTACAAATGGTTTTGATTCGGTGAGAACATCACATATACACAGCCACCATCACATATCACTGCATCAAAGTGAGAAACAAAACATAAAATCAGAGCCTTTTCTTGTCTCCTCTCTTCATAGTTATCTGTTATCCACCTTCCGGCATGACAACAGACATCTTTGCCCATTTTCGGCATGTTGACCACCGTCAGAAGGCAACAAAATTTCTTTTTTTTTTCCAAAATCAGGCGAAAAATGAATGCGCGCGCAGACGTCATCCATAAAAATTACTTGCTGTGGCCTTAAAAAGGAGTTCCAAATGTACCTACTGATGCCTTTTCTCCCCTTCGCTAGCTCCAGCCCGTATCGGTATGCAGATAAAGGGTGACGGGATGCTTGCCGACATGTTCCGGGTTCTCGTCTCCAGTTTTGACCCCCTGGCGGAAGAAGACTTCACCTTCGATACGACCAAATGTTTACCTCACCCGACATTCCCAGACCTTTCCGTCTACAAGAAAATAGGTAATTTAAACAGTATTAAGTAAATAGGTAATTTTAACAATAATTTTAACAGTATTAAGTAAATAGGTAATTTTAACAATAATTTTAACAGTATTAAGTAAATAGGTAATTCTAACAGTAATTTTAACAGTATTAAGTAAATAGGTAATTTTAACAGTAATTTTAACAGTATTAAGTAAATAGGTAATTTTAACAGTAATTTTAACAGTATTAAGTAAATAGGTAATTTTAACAATAATTTTAACAGTATTAAGTAAATAGGTAATTTTAACAATAATTTTAACAGGATTAAGTAAATAGGTAATTTTAACAATAATTTTAACAGTATTAAGTAAATAGGTAATTTTAACAGTAATTTTATCAGTATTAAGAAAATAAGTAATTTTAACAGTAATTTTATCAGTATTAAGTAAATAGGTAATTTTAACAGTATTAAGTTTCTTAAAGGCACTTTTATACATATGATATGTACTAGTCCCTGAATAAATAATGAAATGAAAATGAAAGAACAAGAGCATAAGAAAAATGCGGCGTAAGCGAATAACAAAAGTTAGTAGCATTTCAACAGCTGACCGTTGTTTTTACAGGTGACCCAAAACAAGTCGTCATTATTTCTGTACATATTTATGTTAACCGAAGGAAAACGTATTGTTTTTGCTCAGTTTCTTCTTCTTCTCCAAACAGTGACCTCTGACCTGGCCAATGGCCTGATTTGTTGACGTCTGTCACCATGGTAACTGGTGTTGGGTTATATAATGTTGCAATTTCATAGTAGGAGGGATTTAGACTCCTGTCACCATATATTAGATATGTGAATGTGTTTGAGTAAGAATTAACAGAGCAGACCGTATGCGAAGGTAAACATTATGCACTTGCTTTGCAAATTATATACTTTTCTAGTTCTGTTTCTATCTTTGATATAAACTCAGTTTTGCAACGATAGAGATGTCTTTATCTCTAAAATTACAAAGTTATTATGCCATACTTTCTCTTCATTGTCTATAATTTGTTTACCCTTTTGTGATGTCTCTCATTTTTATTAGGATTTATTTACGGCGCTTGCCTGTTCACGGTGATTTTTGAGGCCTACGGACTGCGCCTGCGCAGAGCGACCTGTGCCAGCTACTTTCCCGAACGGGAGCGAGAGCGAGTCGTCTGGCTGTACAACCACATGCTGAAGGTCACCATTTTTAATGTTGTAAAACCTGTCGTAATTATGTTAAGGCCACACCGACTTAATTTTATGGATGACATCCGCGCGCGCACTGATTTTCGCCTGTTCTCTGGCCTGGCTCTAGGCCTGGGTACGTCCATGGTAGTTTAGCGACAATACGGAGCCAGTGGTAACCCCGGAGGATGGCACCGATGGCACTAAAGCTCCACGACTCAAGAACTCAGTACATACGCACAGTGCCGATTCATAAATTCCGCAAAAAAGCCAGCATTTGCCGACTTGTCGTGTTCGTCGCTATGTATTGCCGCAAATTCACAATACCGGATTTTTTTCTTCGCCCGCGCGCACTAGTTTTGGGGGTCTTCAGAGGATGTCATCCATAAAATTAAGACAGTGTGGCCTTACCGAAGGAAAACATATTGTTTTCGCTCAGTTTCTTCCTCTTCTTCTTACGATCCAAACAAATAAGGTCAATGACCAGGACCAAACGTCTGTCACCATGGTAACTGGTGTTGGGTTACATCATGTTGCAAGTGCCATGCAGAAATGGGTTCAAGAGGGGCTGTATGGTCAGCATATATATGAATGTGTTTGAGTAAGAATAAAGAAAGCAGTAGTTTGTTATATTATAAGCTGGGCCATGTGAAGGTAAATATTATACATTTGCAAACTCTTCAGTTTTCTTGTTGTCTTGCCAATGCTTTCATTTGCTTAGTTTGATGGCTCAATTTCTAATTGTTGAATAACGTACATGTCAAAGGTTTCCGTCCAAAATAAAATAACCTGATTTCCATCTTTTTTAAACTACGCATAACAATCATGACTCAATATGGCGTTGTTTTCACACGAACACTCTCTAGCTTAAAGGACTGTTTTTATACCAGGAAAATATAGCGCTGCTAGCAATTACTGAGTGAGAATATGCAAAAAAGATTGTTTAAACTGTTGAAGAAAGACACTCTTTTTACACAACAAACTCAGCTGAATTGCCCTGAGGAAGGTGACAGACGGTCACCGAAACGTCGGCTGAATAAAAACACTTGGTTGTGTAAAAAGAGTCTCTTTACTCAGTGACTTACCGACCTTATGAAACTATTCACGGATGTTTCAACTGTTATATAGAGACGAGGAGGGTTGGTGGCGACACTAAGGAAGTGGGGGATGAGAAAGGCGATCGAACAAATGGCAGAAGAGGCTGGGCAGGAGGTTTCCTTTGGCCCAGAACGAGAGGTATACGACTCCAACGTGCTGGACAGATGTGCATCAAGGTATTACTTATTAGTGTTCAAATAAGAAGTGCTTTTTTTTCAATCTGACCGGGGGCTTATGTTCATTGCATGCAAGGCTAGTGCATAATACTATTAAGTACATGTATCAAACGATAGCCCGCTTATAATTTTTAGCTGGAACAAATACTGCACAGTACAACCAGGATCACCAACTGAGTTGTCTGTGACTTGTTTTACACATCTCTAACTAATAGAAAGAGGCAGTCATGTAGCCCGGCTAGCTCAGTCGGTAGAGCATGGGACTCTTAATCCCAGGGTCGTGGGTTCGAGCCCCACGTTGGGCGATGTAATTTTTTTTTGTTTTACAGTGATAAAATGCCTTTCTAGAACTCATTTGCTATACATTAGCAACAGCATTGTGTAAAATTTACTTGAATTTACTAAAATTTACGTATGATATATGTACTTCCCAAAGACAACACTTACCCATATCTTATGTAAAATATCATCTTCGGTGTTATTTTTATCAATTTGATTTTCACATCTACTTTTTTTCTGTTCCATGTGTCGGTAGCTTTCCATGTGTTGAAAGGCTGCTGAAAATGTGCGGCTGGAAAGGGAAAAAGTTCTGCATATCTTGCGCAAAACCAGGAGAGCAGGAGGACAAAAAGAAGTTTAAACATTGCGAAAATGCAGGCTGCAAAGGTATGTGCTACGTGTACACAGATCTGGGCCATGATTGGTCGATATCCTTCTACTTCTGACCAATGGGTTCAATTGTTCTACAGCATGCCAGTCTTTACACAGTGCAAAATGGCGCCAGCTGGGTCACTTTGGGTCAATGGTGCAGTCATGGAAATTTTGCTTCTGTTTTCTTGTGTATCTCATTAATTACCTGGATGTCTAACTTTATGACATATACTAATATATCGACGTAATAACAGTTTAATTCTACTTCTAGATATGTCATAGATCTAAGTATGTTTATTAAATGGTCAGAGTTTATATGTATCTTAGATGTATTACATAAAGTTTAAAAGAAATGTCAGCCATAATTAAAAAAAGAAAGATTTAGCAGCGGGTGGTTTCGATCCACCGACCTCTGGGTTATGGGCCCAGCACGCTTCCGCTGCGCCACGCTGCTGGTTGTATTCATGATTGCTTACCTGTCAATTAAGCCAATCACATAGACATCACCTATTGACAGACAATGGCTTGTCTTTAGAGTCATTACCATTAGTAAGGACTGTTTTCTTGCTCTTTGTCTAGTGTTGTCGCCATGCTTTTTGAATAAAAAGACGCCCCTTTCCTCTTAGGGGTCGTTTTAGCTTGCTATTAGACAAGTTTTACTGTACAAAGTTAACGCCCCCCTCCCCCAAACACAGGGATCTTCTGTCTGGACTGTTGGATCCAGATTAACAACACCTGCACACTGTGCATGCGCCCTGTGGACTACTCCGACGTTGCATACGTTAGCGAAGAACGGTGGGTTGATACTGTGATTATTATGTTAACCGAAAGTTTTTGCTCAGTTTCTTCCTCTTCTTCTTCTTCTCCAAACAGTGACCTCTAACCTGACCAATGACTTGGTTTGTTGACGTCTGTCACCATGGTGACTGGTGTTGGGTTACATAATGTTGCAATTTCATGGTCTGCTCTGCTCCTGTCACCATATACTAGTAGTACATGTATGTGAATGTGTTTGAGTGAGAATTAAGAGTGCAGAAGGTAAACATTATGCATTTGCTTTGCAAATGTTACTTCTTTAGTTACATATTTGTTTTTACTCCGGAAGTATTGTTTTGGGTGGCTGAACTCCGAGTTTGTGTGCGCCTGTGTCCGAACAGATTTGATTGTCAGCATGTGGGTGAGGGGAAGATTGACAAAATGACAGGAGGTCAAACGGTCAGGTCAGACGCAGGAAATGGGGTGGGGTAGGGTGAACTTGAAGGTCACAAAAACCCCAAATACTTCCCAGAAGTCTAAAATCTACGACTTATTGCTATGTTTTTTTTTTCATTGTACTCGATTTGAGCAGTTCAGTTCAGTTTAGATAAAGGTTTATCTCTGACTCTCGTAGAGACTCTAGTGACGAAGAGGAGTTGAGAAAAGTCCGCAGAGCCAAGAAGAGACGCGGCTCGGATGCAGCGCTGAGGACGAGACGTCTGATGAAGGAACAGAGGGAGACAGAAAAACAAGATGAAGAAGAAGCAAAGCTAGCGAAGACGGTTCCTGAGGAGCAGTCGCTGGTGTCCAGTTCTGAGGACAGTGAGGACGAATCAGGTGACAGTGATGACGTCGACACTGATGACTTGGACATGGATTATCAATACACTACAGGTATGTTACCATGGCAACGTGTTATATTAATAATAATAATAACCTTTATTGTACATTCATGCCCTACCGGGCTAAGTACAGGCGAACAGATGAAATAGGTAATATACATGTTTGTAGTACAAACAGCTCTAAATCTACTCTAATGCAGAAGTTCGGCTTCTTCTCGTTTCTTTGTGATGTTAAAAATATAATTTGAAATGGGTTTGTATAATACAGGATGATAAAGGCCCATAAGAAAGATAAATTGTTCAATATTAGGCAAGTACTGGAAGTATGGAAACGTACTTGTAATATATCTAAAAAGATCATTTCTTTATATTAGAACGATTCGGGAATCAGGAGTCCATGACGATAACCACGACGAGAGGGGGCTGTTGTATCCAGAACCGTGCTTTATCCAGAACCGTATTAGGAATGGTTCTGGATAGTCCACGCATATTTAGAACAGTGTCTGGCTCAAATCTACGTTCTTGAATACGCGGAGATTACATCCAGAACAGTGATGCTAAAAACACCTTCTAGCTAGCCCTCCAGCGGGTGATGCGGAATACACCGTGTAGTATTCTACATTTCAGTAACAAGAATTCCGAGACTTCATACCTCCATGAAATATGGGCTTGATATGTAAATGTAAATTTCCTCTTTAATTATGCAAATTACCTCCGCATTAACATGATATGTGGATCGTGATGTATGTTAACTTTTGATTAACTTACAGATGTCCCAAGTATGACATTCCCATCATTCACCATTACGAAATCATTGAATGTTTGCATAAATTATGCATATTAGGTCATCATTTGCATAATTAGTATCTGTTGATGTTCTGCCTGCCATAGGTTACAGACATTACATGTATGAAAGTAGTATAATGTAAAACACTGTATTCATAGAATTTCCTCATTAATTATGCAAATAAAGTCCTCATTTGCATAATTTGCATTTAATCATGTACATCTCTCTCTCAGCTACCTACACACCAAAAATTATGAAAATAGGTTGTTCCTATCTGGACTTATTGGCTTTTAAACATTTCGCCAGAAAGTGCCCTGCTGTTCCAGAACAAGCTGCTAAGGGGACCAAACTCACATCACTTATTCCTGACAGAAAAAGCAATCTGTCACCAAAACATCAATACCATAGCATGTTCAGGACAAAAGATACAAAAACCGGAAGTTTTGCTGCAGTACCAAGGTCATCCACCAGGAGGCCCATATTTGACCTTGACGTTTGTCTTCCTAAGACTTACCAACATACCAAATATCATCATAATCCATAAAGGCGTTCTGAAGTTATGCTGACCACAAAGTTGCGGAAACACAGACAGACACACAGACAGACAGACAGACATACATACAGACACGCCAAAAACAATACCTCCATTTTTCATGGAGGTAATTAACTTTAAGTTTGTAAATGAAGTTCCGTATCCTGTGCGTTTGCTGTCTGTCTTTGGCTCCTACGTAGTACAATGTATACATGTACTAGTACAACATGTATTCACCACGGACGTATTCACCCCCCCCCCTCTCTAGGGACATTGCCAGCGCTATTCCGGCCTATCCTAGGCCGGGGTAACTGTATAAAATGTGCTGACAAAGGGGCTATACAAATATGCGGAATCCACTGTATATGTATCCACCAATATATTGTACCTAAGGCCATGTTAATTTGATGACTATAGTATATGGATGACATCCTCTGGGAACCCCAAAACTGATGCGAGCGTGCGAATAAAAAAAAAGTTTTTCTTTCATTATAAATTCTACATGGTCCTGAAGGTTGAACAAATGACACAGAGTATGGTTTGGCGAATAATCTACTCTTCAAATTCATTTCTTTACATTTTCGTCTTTTTCGTTTGGTTTTGGCATTCTTCGACGTTGGTATCGTTTTCCAATCTTTTTTTTTCATTTTCATTCGTTTTGCTTATTTTGCAACTGTTTTGTACGATTAACAGTGTGGTTGAAAACTTTTTTTTGGAAGCGGCCGAAAATTCATGCGCGCGCGGATGTCATCCATATAATCAAGTCAACATGGCCTAACCCTAACCAACTTTTGACAAATTCTGCTGCAGCCGAGTCTGACTCTGATTCTGAGGAAAATGACGCCACGAGAGTCAGGAGCAACATCGAACTGGTGACGTACCAAGACGTGACATGCGCAGTGGAGCACAGCGACTGGAATTACATTGGGCAGGACCAGGCGTATCAGTACGACCACTTAACAGATATACGGATAGACAGACAATAGCCGCTTATTTGGTGACCAGGACCAGACGTATCAGTACGACTACTTAACAGATATACGGATAGACAGACAATAGCCGCTTATTTGGTGACAGCTGAACATTCATTGACCACGGACACATATTCTATCACATACTAGACTACTTTCTATGAGTTACAATGAGAATGAACAACTGGTATTATCTTATTTTAGAAAGTCGATTCTATTTTCTTTTATTCAGTAGCATGAAATGAAAGTAAAGACGTCACGGTACTAGCATTTCTTTTGACATTCATGAATACTAGTACAATAGAAAACTTGAGTTGTCTGCATTTTGTAATTTCCTTTAAAGTAGCCTAAAACACTATGTAAAAATAAAGGTCACCACATTTTCCCTATCTATTCACTGATTTGGTATGGTGAACTAGATAGGGGTAGTTTATGTCGGGATGAAATTATAGCTAAAATGGAACCCGTATCAAAAGGCAGTCACAACGATATCTTTGTCACGCAATGCATAATCGATCCTTAATGTCAAACTGGACATTGATGTAAACAAAGAAAGATTTTTATCCTAAGACCCTGTGTCCACCATGAGCCATTTTAGGCATGAATTTAAGACGGTCTCGAACCCAAAAACGAATTAGCTTTGAAAAAAATATAACGCCCAACGTGGGGCTCGAACCCACGACCCTGGGATTAAGAGTCCCATGCTCTACCGACTGAGCTAGCCGGGCTGTGATGCTCCTTATCAAAATGTAATTGACACTCACAGCGTGCCTCTTTTCTAACCTTAACGAACGATGTGTCGTAACGCAGGCAGTACTGTACAATATACAAAGAAAACAGTCGATGATTCCATATTTTCTGAGCACATGTTATGTTAAAAGTAATCTCGTGTTTAATTACGCGATGAACACAAGCTGTGCATAATTTAAAAGGTATTAATATTCGTACCAGTTTGGTAAAAAAAAAATTACTCGCCCAACGTGGGGCTCGAACCCACGACCCTGGGATTAAGAGTCCCATGCTCTACCGACTGAGCTAGCCGGGCTGTGACAAATGCTGTCGAAACGCAGTTACTTGTTACTGAAAATACGCCAACCTGGTTCAATCATGTTCTATTGCAAAATGAGCATATGGCGATTAAGGATATGACAGACTGTTGCACACATTATGATGAGAGCTGATCTGTTGTGTTCCCCACGGGAAGGGAAGGATCATGATAACTTTGAGATAACCTTGATATAGAAAGAGACAGTTGCTTATTTAGCTTCGTGCATAACATGTATGATTTAGTAATGTGAAATTGACGGTATGACAAATGCTTATTCATCATCAAATTATCAGTAATTGTCATAAGTAATTAATTACATTCAAGCCCTCAATAAATACATCGATGTTTCTGGTTTCCCTTGCATATTCCCTTTAATATTTACTACAATGATTTTTGAATGTGCAAAACAATAAAAAAACAACGGTATAAACGATGGTATAAACAACGGCATAAAAGAACTTAAGTTTAACACTTTTTTTTTCTAAAATTATACCGTTCACTATGCAAAACCAAGATCCAAGCCTGGGCAGCTTATGCTCTATTGAATAATAGCGTTTGGCGATGTTACACAAAATATGTCAATAACGAAATAGATTTGCTCCTCAATCACGGTACGAACCCAAATTTTGACAATAAAAGCACAAAATTGTGCTAACAAAACCTATGGACGAACAGCCTTGCCATGTATATAGCTCTGCATGATAAGAAAAATTGTTTTCCCCGTAGGCATGTGGTGCATTAGGTACAGATTACAACGCGTGACGTGCATATTTAATGCCGTGCCGGCAACAGTACACACGCGGCTGTAATGACAGAGGATCCCGTCGGTGCTATTCCTGGCATTCGATTCCGGGAATCTCAAACAGACGACCCTCGACCCGGAAGCTGTAGGTTCCCAATATTTTCATGTCGATGGCTGTTTGTGTACATGGCGAGGATGGGGTAGGTATTATAGCGATGCCGTGATCAAATTTCAGCGGTCTTCTCTAGCAGAGATGATCCCGATGCTGTGGGGAAGACTATCGCCGACCTTCCGGGCCAACCTGGCCTCTCCCACCCGTACGAACCCTCCTCCAGCGCCGCAGCGGAGGCCGAAGAAGAAATGGTGGGGCGATGGCGGCAAATCTCACGGCGCGCTGCTCATCCTGATAGAGGTTGGCTTCGTGTTTGCTGTCATAGGACTCATCATGAGCCTGGTGGCTTTCAACAAGCTCACAAGCCCGAAAGACAACTCTGGAAAAATCGTGAACATGAAGATTACAGGGTTGTTTTTCCTCTGTTTCGGGGTGCTGCTGCTGGTGCCCAGCGGGTGCGTGTTCATGTGCCGGTTACGGGAATCGAGGGTTCCCGGAAGAGGTCCCAGAGGGGGCCGGAGCAACAGGAGCACGGCCGCGGGGCGAGGAGAGGGCGGGAGCGGGGCGCGGAGAGGCACCGAGCCGCCTCGGAAGGGAACGCGGACGCAGGCCAGACCGCTGCGAGGGAAGAGGATGAACGCTCGCGGGACAGACGAAGGTCGAACACTGAAGGAAGATCCCCACGCCCCACGCTGAGGCCCCTAACACGCTCCCGAGACCGCAGGTGAGAACAATTCATAATAATAAGTTTATTGGCATTTACTTCCAGCCCGAAGGCTAATTGCAAATGACAAGGATATGAGAACATTGTAACCAGAGTACAAAATAACTTCAAAATCTACACAATAAAAGGTACATAATAAAAAGTAATTGTCCAAAACTATATCTATGTCTAAAACTATGTCTGAAGGGTTTGACTTCTCTTCACAATAGAACCAATGAAAATGCGTGTATATTAATATACAGGATTACAAGGGGACCGAGTATGCATCCCTGGGGGAGTGTTTGACCTTCTGTGTCGATTACATGTAATGCCTAGCCCCTAGCTGCAATGAGATGATCACATTCTCTGTATCCATACAATATATCAGCAATTAGATTGGTATGGCGAACTAGTCTCCCAGTTAGTTTATGCTTGCATATATACTAACTGGGATGTCACCCATGCCAAAGCTGAAAAGGAAATAGTTCCATGTACACAACAAATATATTTACGGTGATTTTCATTGGAATATTGCAAGGATTATGCATTATACAACAACCAATGAATGACTGATATGGTAAATAATTGGTATATAATCATAAACATTTTCGATGATTTGAGACAAATATCAAAGGATGTAAATATTAGATTGTACGCATCTAATCGCCTGATAGTGCCCATTTAGTTATGAAATGCTGTGGTTTCCCGCCGAGCTCAACAGTTACTCATATCTCTTTAACGTCAGTTTGTATATACGTCATAGGGTTATAAATAGAATTGATGACGTTGGGCGATGTTTGCTAGAAAGACCGCTGCCAAACGCTACCAGACTGCATCATGATATAATTACACGTGCATTTTCTTTTGTAACAAACTGGATTCCATGTTTAATGTAAATAAATACTCTGCAAGTACTATTTTACTAGGAAAAAGTGCCTGTTGGATTTGTTTATTTTTCGTCCCGGAAACATGTTCCTGGAATTTTGTGATATCGATTGTACAGTTACGTATACATTGCCATGAGAAGTCATACTTGACTACGTGCATGTTCCCTCGCAGAACACAGAATAAAACATTGTGAGGATGCAGTAAACGATACCATACGTGACCAAAAGCAGGTGTTCACACAAATATTTAATAGTACCATTGTAAGAAAAGATTATTTCAATGGCCCAACGGAATCGAATAACAAATAACACCTTTGTAAATTGCATTAATTAAATGTGCGTGCCTGCGCATACATTGCAGACAACATTGTTGTCAAACCAGTTGTTCAGTGAACTAAAGTCAACAAAAAATCTACAGCTTTCTGTGTTAATGAAGAGTGTTCAGAAAGCCTGACGTTGTTTCGGGGTTATGTGAAAGCTATCATGTCTCCTTCCTCCTTACACCCGTTTCTGGGATATCACCATCTTAAATCGCGATCGTAACATTTATAATTCACTTCAACTGGAGGATGTTAGATCTATGCATTAGACAATTACACACGAGACAGGAGTATCAGTGCCCGGCTAGCTCAGTCGGTAGAGCATGGGACTCTTAATCCCAGGGTCGTGGGTTCGAGCCCCACGTTGGGCGATGGAATTTTTTGTTTTTATTTGTGAAAATGAGTATCTAACACCTTTTTGACGTTTATAACTAAATTCTTTTTCGTTGTTGCCAGAATTCAATGTTCATTTCTTAAATTCCTTCTCTCTTATATCAGTTTGATGTTTATATCCATCTGTCTTACTTCAGTTTTAATTTGTGTTTTCATTATATTTTAATTCTAATGATGTAAACTTAATCTTCATATATATATTGTCTGACCCTCACCTCTTCCCTCATGAGCTCAATGAAAAGCGGCCTGCAGGCTGATTTGAGCCTCTCACAAATGGTTCAAACATTTTATATTCTTAATTTCTTTTCAGTCGACCCCAAGGACCGTGCCGAAACGGTTCAGCCGAGACCTTAGATCCTGGTCACAGCGTCAGCCGCTCTACATCGGTGTCTCCGTCACGTTCTAGAGGACGGTCACCCCCTGGCCCTCCCCCGCCGGCAGACTTCAGCTTCCCGCCACCCCCTCCTTCATACGCGTCAGCCATAAACTTGAGTGACATCAACGAAACGGAGAGAGGGTCGGCAAGTCGGGCAAGCGCTGACGCTACAGGACCCCACCCTCTACGAAGAGAGGCGACCGGGAGTCAGCCACCGACGTATAGTTCTGTGGCGGACCTTAACGAGGTTACTATAGAGGTAGGAGTGCCCAGGAGAGACTCTGTTGTTCGTTACCAGGCAACCAGTGACATCGGACAGGTCGATTCCTCCAGCGCGCCACCCCCCTCCTACGAAGTGGCACTGTCCTCGCGAGACGAAAGGAATGATGGGAGAAGTGACTTACAACTTGTGTGATCCGCCATTTTGACAATTGAAAATTGACCTCTGAGAGCTCAAGACTGTTTCCCAATGACGGGACAATAGGAAATGGTTTCTGACTATGCTAGGAGAGGTTCCTACATCCTCAAAACTTGTTACATCTAAAAGGCAGCATCTACATCAAGGCTAGGCTTTAACGTTTTATAAGCATCATCTACATTTCTATCTAGTAACAATAAAGAAATGACACGTTTCTTGGATTCAGGAGCATTTACATGTACGAAGTGACCATATGACAACATGCATTCCAAAATCACCGGATTTTGGAAGTAAATGCAATCTACTTTAAAAAGCTTCGAATCCTAGCTATGGAAAGGTAAGACGCAACCAGTAAAAGGTAGTTAGTATAGATTATAGTCATCATCTTTGTATAAGTGCTCAGATATCATTCTTTTGATATCACTAGCTACAAAATAGTTCTCACAGGCCATTCGACGCTAGAAGTGTTGGATGTATTACTCATTGACACTGTTTTTTTAAATGAAAGAACGCCACTCATTCAGTTCATGAAAAGCTAAAAAAAAGGACTATTGTTACAAACCTTCTACTGGCTCAACAAATCGGTTTAAGGGTAAGAAACCTTTTTTTTCGTGTAATATGTTGGTAGACTACATGAATATGAATCTGTTTGGAGTCAAGTTAATTCCTTCTGCGTACTAGTAATGTTTGTATCCAGTGGGTGTGAACGATGTCTCTGATTGTGGTCGAAGAAATGTCAACACATGTGAGCATTGTGAGTATTGTTGGAAGAAACTGTTGGTAGAAAGTCGGTGTTTTCTCCTAGAGAAAGACCGTATTGTGTATCAGAACTGGAAAAGTCAGCGAAGCTGACAGCTGTCACACGATAATGTAAGACATTGTAAGTTGTAATCGGTTAAGTGATGGATGTAAAAGTTACCCTGACAAGTACAATTCATATATTCAAAGGATTTTCTTTATTTACAGTGCAATACAGTTGACTATTATGTGTATGAACAGGGTATTTTTATGTTCGTTTTACTCTGTATTATTGTTTCATGTGAAATAGAAACGTTAGGCTAGATCGTGAAGGTGAATTGTTGAATATGCAGTAGGTAGTGATGATAATGAATACGTTAGATATTACAGAGTGTTCATAGTACAAGGGGCATTCTGTCAAAATACTGGCTAACAAGTTATCTTATCAACTTTTTAATGCATTGGATTTCAATGTTTCTCCAAAAAGAAAGTTGCCGTCACGAAGGGCATTGTAATTGTGATGACCATTACTTTCGGGCACGTTAGTATTGTTTTGGGTGGCCGAGATGTGGGTTTGGGTACCTGTTTATGAGCTGTAGGTTGACAGAACGTGGGTGGGGAAGGTTCTTATGCATAAAGGTGGTCAAAAGGTCAGACTCAGAAAATGGGGAACCAACAGGAACTAGTGGCTGACGTGGGGAATTCAGGATGCTACTTAAAGAATGCAAGCTTCTGGGAATTCTGAAATTTAACAAAATACAATTATATCTAACCGAATAAAATAAACTAAATCATACGTGAAGCAAGAGATAGCCATCCGTTGTGGGGGTAACATAACTGGTACTTAGGACGTCTTTTTCTATTTACAAAGAAATCAATCTAAGTCATTCCTGCCGTGCCTACCATCATTGTACAATCCCCTCTCTACAAACTACCAAATAAGAGGGTCGTAGCCTTACAGATGAACTTTAAACGGGGATCATAAGATCAAGAAACAGCTCAATGCGTAAGCTAAGTGAGATGCAACCAGACTAATGGGAAATCCAAGTTGGATACGATAGCCGTGGTTTCGATGTTCTAGTCTCCTACGTTACAAGAAGTTAGCCAAACAAAATAATTTGTCAGGAAAGCGTGGCCATCATAGAAGTTCAATGTGGGTGGATGTGCACTCCCTTGGGCATGGCCGGCAAACTCATCTGGCTAAATATTCCCTCTATGGCCATTTTCTACATTTTTTGTAGACCACATAAGCCTGGTGTACACTTAGTGTATCCCCCAACGGCCGTACTAGCAGCCTGCCATGATCAAATCGTACCATCCTGATAAATATAGATGACCTCGATCAAGAAAATACCTCTGTATCTAAGTCCCTAAGTGGGCTAAACCATTAAGCACTGTTACCTAACATGAACAGACGGTTATCTAAACGTATATAGGAAGGGTAACCAGCGGGATAGTGAGCGGGGATTGTTAGGATGGCGTCTAGATCGTGGTTTGATCATACTAACGATGATGTTACGGCGTGGTGGGTCAGGGATCTGATCCGGCGAGGGGTGCTAACTGAACACGGCCGCCGTCGCCGCCGCCGAAGGCCGAACAGATTCAAGCCATGGCTGCTGATCCTGGAGAGAAGGCGGGGCCATGTAGCGCGGAAACACCGCAATTTCGCCATCGTGGTCGAAATCGGCCTCTTTCTGGCCGTTATAGGGCTGTTGATTGGTTTAACTCTACATGTTATAGGGCCTGTTCTGTTTGGGATTGGCTGTTGTCTGCTAATTCCGACCGCCTTTTGGTTCGTCTGGGAATTCAGCTACCGTTCCACGGACGATCTACAGCCCGAGGATGAGCAGGAAGAAGACGAGCAGGGAGAGGAGGCCAGAATCTCTCTGGGGCACGACGGTCCTTACGGGTAAGTTCAAATGATTTTCTAATTTCAGCTAAGGCATCGGAGTTGGAGAGGTTTTTTTTAGCCTAGGTGCCAGACTGTTGCTAGGGGTAGTATACAGGACAGCTCCTTGGCTCCGAAAATGTTACTATAGACACCCCATCAGGTAGACTCTGAGTAACAGTCTGGCCTCATAAAATAGACCTAATTTGGGCCAGGTTCAATAATGCCACCCAATTTTGACCTGCATTGACATATTAGGTAAAACGCAATAAAACTGCATATTACTATAAATGCATAATTGAATAAGACACTCACACTAACCAATTTAGAAGCTAAAATATTTCATCTTCTGTTTTTGACACGGAAGGAACTGGAAAGGCCAGACTGTGTGGGTCTTTTTACCACCGCCCTGGTCTAGTAGTCGTGTTGGGACATGAACATACTACACTGTCATATACTGATGTATAGCTCATGTGTAGAGTGAACGCATTGCCAACTCACCCCAGAAGCCCTACCCTATGACAACACTCAATTATGTAGACTGGTAACCATCCTATGGGTCTGGCATAGTGGTGTTTTACGTCCAGGAACTAAACATTGACATTTTTCTTAAGGCCGACGTTTCTGGTAACAGTTAGCCCCCGCCAGGCCTTCCTTAGGGGTTATTGATAGTAATATTCGTCAAAAGCAGGGCCAGTAATTTGTTAGTATTAGTGACTTGCGGTAAGTGCAATATTTCCCCTTATAACTACACGGAAAAATGAACTCCTCTGGCCAATTATTCCCCCTATTGGGCTGAATGTTGACCCACGTTGTTGATCTGGTTACGACTAGATAACAGCCATGTCTGAAGGTAACTGAACCCGACCCCGTAAAAATTCCCCCGAGCGAACTAATTAACCTCGGCGGGCGGGCAAAGCGCCCAGTGCCGAGCAGATCACGGGGAGCTTACGGCAGGCTGGTAACCAGGCTAAAGTTACGGGGTTAACATGTAGGGACACCATCTGTTACAAACGTCTGTAGTAGTTGCCAGCTACGTGTACTGCTATCATTGAATCGTGCCATCCCGTTAAATATAGTTGACCCGGATGACGAAAACAGCTCTTGACTCAACCTCTGATATATCAAAAGTCACCAACATGCGTCTGTCAGTGAAACAGTGTGTAGGATAAGTATGTAAGTGGAAGACGTTCTGATGATGGCTTCTCGGTCCTGGTTTGATCGTACCAATGATGACGTTACGGCCTGGTGGTTTAGGGACCTAATCCGTCGAGGGGTGATCTCAGACCAAGCCGATTCAAACCAACGCGAACGCCAGCGACGACGGCCAAACCGTTTCAAACGATGGCTACTGTTGGAGAGGAGGAGGGGGCTACGTAAACAAAGTTATTTCGCTCTTGTGGTTGAAGTTGGCCTCTCTCTGGCCGTTATAGGGCTCCTGATAGGCTTAACGCTACACGTGATAGGACCTGTACTGTTTGGTATCGGCTGCTGTCTGCTGATTCCGAGCGCCTTCTGGTTTGTTTGGGAGTTCAGTTATCGTACTACGGAGGAGCTGGAAGTAAGCCACAGGCCACGCGAAGACGACGAAGAAGAAGAGAATGAAGATGAAGGGAGTGAAAGAAGTGCAACAGAAGACAATGTAGAGAGGTGGGTCCAGATTGGTGATGTTCTATTTTCTTTGGAAAAACTGTCTAAAAATTGTATAATTATGCAAATCATATATCCAAAAGAAACAGTTAACAGCAGCAGAAAGGAAAAAACAAGCTCTGCGATGTTAATTACTAACCTCCCAACCAACAGCAACACCAATATCAATAGAACTAGTCAGTCATGTTGTTCTGATGTAAGGGTGCAGATCACCTGTGTGAGGGTGATCTGCTATATTTTCTTTGGAAAAAATGTCTAGAAACTGCAAAAGTATGCAATTCATACATCCAAAACAAACAGTTAAAAAGCACAAAGGGAAAGAGAATGCTCTGCAATTTTACTAACTTCCCAACCAACACCAAGACTAATATGGCTCAAGTATAGGGTTAACAAATTTTACATCTGCCTTTACAGTTTCTTCATGTAACCCAAAACTTGTAAGTGGTTCGTATGAGCCTTGTTTTGAGGCGAAAATTCAAGTAAAATAAAGAAATGCCAATAGAACTACTGAGTAGTCCGACAATGTCATGTTGTTGTAATGTACGCCTTGGGAGGTACACAGAGGTCAAGTATGGCACGCGGCATGGTAACATCACCCGGCCAGCAGGATACAAGCCATAAGTATCTGACCTTTACTGACCGCAAGAATGCCATTCATGTAGTGTTTACACCAACAGAAGTTATACACAAAAGTATCACATACACAGTAACGAGAGAAATGGGCTCTGACTTCCAATGCCATGCCTAACAACTCACTGCCCTTTCACTAGTTAAAGGCTAATCGCACAAAAACGGCTTCTTGAATTTCCCAACGTTTTTGTTCGCTCCCGACCAGATTCTGAGACCTTTGGCCTCCTGCAATTCTGCCTGTCAATCTTTCCGCCACCCACGTGCTGTCAACCTACCCTTACACTAGTTAAAGTCTAACCTCACAAAAACGCCTTCCTGAATTTCCCCACGTTCCTGTTGGTTCCTGACCAGATCCCGAAACCTTTGGCCTCCTGCCATCCTGCCTGTCAATCTTTCCGCCCCCCACGTGCTGTCAACCCACTGCCCTTACACTAGTTAAAGGCTAATCTCAGAAGAAAACGGCTTCCTGAATTTCCCCACGTTCCTCTTAGTAACCGACCATATTCCGAGACCTTTGGCCTCCTGCCATTCTGCCTGTCAATCTTTCCGCCACCCACGTGCTATCAACCTACTCTGTACAAACAGATACACAAACCCACAGTTCAGCCACCCAAAACAATACTTCCGTACCCGGAAGTAAAAGGTTATGGGACCTTTACGTACGAGAACTCTACTTGATGGATGACGCCATCCCTTATACTGATCTTGACCTATTTTCAATTGCAAATAAAAAATAACCTTTGCGGTGTTCAAGGGGCGTCGCTAAAGAAATCAAACCCACTTGCAACATGTGACATTACCTTATCACGGAGGAACAGCCGCTCTTCTTAGAATTGGACCAATTTGCCTCCCACGTACAGAAACATTTTTTACACGTCTATGGGGAGGTGGTCATTGATTATCGTTGCGAGAGAGATAAATCATTACAAATATGACAGCCTGGCGTCCGTTATATTCTAGCTCCAGTTCGCTTCCTTGCAGTAGTAGTCTTTGGTATGTAGCTGGAATAGTGTGCATGCCAGGCTAGAATACAAAGGTGTTGCAGTAAAATCATGAAAGTATATTGTGGATTGGACAATTCTTATAGACAATATTGTTCTGTAAAATTTCTTGTGTACTTCTATTTCAAAATCTGTCGGATGTAATTACCTTCGTCAAGAAGGTTATGTTTTTGTAGACAAGTGTGTGTGTGTGTGTGTGAGTGAGTGTGTGTGTGAGTGTGTGTGTGTGAGAGTGTGTGTGTGTGAGAGTGTGTGTGAGTGTGTGTGTATGTGTGTGTGTGTGTGTGTGTGTGTGTGTGTGTGTGTGTGTGTGTGTGTGTGTGTGTGTGTGTGTGTGAGTGTGTGTGTGGTCTAGCACGATAACTCAAGAAGCTATGGATGGATTGTGAAACTTGATAGGCACGTAGTTCTTGAGGAGTCCTCGGAATGATTAGATTTTGCTCTTCCTAATTCACTAGCGTATTCAACTGTAGCGCTGTAGTGGAATGTACTATACAGTTGTTTGTATCCCAGACATTTTGACCCTCTTGATCAATGATAACGACAGAGAGGGGACATTTTGTCTCCTCTGCTGTCCCATCACCCTCCGCGGCTGGCTTTGGGGCGTCATTACGCCACAGAAGCCAGCGGCCATCTTCTGTCAGTATCGTCTGCATTCTTCACCATGGCTACGACGGAGGGTGACGCAAGCGGCGCGATGGCGGCATCACCGGGACCTCGGACTGAAAGAGCCGGCATCCTCCACAAATGTCGAGCGACTCTGGAACGGGCTACGAACCTGGTCAAATCGGTGGTCATGCTCCTAACCGTCCTGGCCTGCATCATGATTATCTCGGCTTTGACCATCGACAGCGAGCAGACGGATCGTCAGAGTAAAATGGTTCTCTTTGGGATTGGAGTGGGATGCTTTCTCCAAGGCCTGGCGTATCTGATATACCTGGTGTGGTATACGTCTTCAGGTAGACACTCCACAAGTATAACCTTAAGGCCGGAATACGTTCCGAGCGTCGGAAGACGAAGGCACGTGAGACACAGGTGAGAAAGGAAAAAAGTCCAGTAGCTACATATCCTGTCGTAGGAAGAGATGACTTCTCCCCTATGGCGAAATACATTCATTTGATAAAGGGAAGCCGGTCTTCGGTCATACAGAATGCTTGGGGATATGCTTCAATTTGTCTCTTCTACGAGTATTAGAGCATTCGGAAGAGGCAATTGCAATAGTAAAAAAGTTAATTTTGCCAAGAAGGTTCTGTTTTCAGTAGCATGTGTTTGTGTTATGTATGTTTGTTGTTTTTTGTTGTTGTTTTGAACAGCATAATTCGGGATGTTGTGGACTCCTTTGTGATGTGGATAGATCTTCACGATACATGCATTTGGTATGTGGGTAGGTTGAGTATTGGTCCCCTAGCAGCTTTGATATAGGTGCCAAGCTACATGTATTATGCAAATTTGGGTATAATTACCCAGGTTAATTAATTAGATGATAACAATTGAGAAAGATAGGGAGTCATCGACCTCTTGGCTGGTCTCTCTCCGTAGCCAATAGCACATCCACAGTTAACTTATCGACCGGAAAAATCTATTACTTGCCACAATGAAGTACATAAAAACGATCTATTGGCCTTAAGGCCCTCATAGTTCATGGCATAAAATCAAACAATTCACTTTACAAAGATGAAACGCCACAGAATACCATAGACGGAAAAAGAGAATTACTGTATTTTTGATAACAATGTATTTCATAGTATCTCACGTGCTTTGCGCCAACAAGAAAAAATCCAACAGGTTTAGATATAGAGCATTGACATTTGCAACTATTATATTATCATATTTCCTATTATCAATGCCTTTTTCATAAATTGTACCTGCTATTTTCAATTAGGCCTTGGCAAAATTCCTTGCAGTATAGTCTTTGGGATGAGCTAGAATATGTTGGGGGTCGGGGTTAGAATGCACGGTTCCTACATTGTCATTTTTTTTCACTACTTGTACCTGTTATTTGCAATTAGCCGTTGGGCAAAAATCCCTTGCAGAATAGTCTGTGGTAAGGAGCTGGAATATTGTGGATGTCAGGCTAGAATGCACAGTTCCTACGTTGAATTAGCTTTCTATTGATAAACCCTTAAGACATAGTCCTAGTTCTAGACAGCTACCTTTATCATGTAGACTTTAGTAGTTATTTTCTACTCTGTTTCATTGCTCTCTTATGTTTTGTAATGTGCAATTAGCCTCTGGGCACGAATTTGCAATAAACTTTTCATTAATTATACCTAATATCTTGTTATTTGCAATTAGCCTTCGGGTAAAAATTCGATAGCACTAAGCTATGCCTATCTCTTTGCGGCCGGGCCTGGTCTGTATAACGGGCAGTTAGTACAGGCACATGACGAAGTCACGTGCACATGCTTACATATCGCTTGCGTGGCCATGGCGACTGGCAACATGGAAGGTGGCGCTCACGTTACTCCCGACAGTCGACCCAACCTCCGCGCGCACGTCTTCAGGGCCTTCCAAGACCTCGAACCTCCGGACGACTTCACCCGACACTCCAGCTACCCCTCACTCACGACGCTAGCGAAGGACTTCCGTGTCGTTTCTTGTGTGTCGGCTTTACTGGCTTGCCTTCTCATTATCATCAGCCTGACTTCTGCGAACGACAACGCGCTTGTGGAAGTCGTCGTGTTCGGGATAGGTTTGGGATGTTTTCTCCCAGGCATCAGCTTCTTGGTTTACCTAGCCTGGTGTGAGAGTTGCGCTCCTGCATCTACCATGACCGAACATGTCCATTTTCCCTACAGGTAAGGCTTACCTTTCTTACAGCCGTATTCCGTTCAGAATCTCCCTACCCAGCCTCAGCGATAAGTACCGGCTTTCCAATGCCACATCTCCGCCACTAGGCCTATTCCCTTTTTACCCATAAGAAGAGACGATCTATCAAACGGTCGTTCCTCCGAACCCATCATAGCGAGCAATAATGGTACCAGCAGCACAGACCTGCGTTCCTGACATCAGTCCTAGTTCAACTAGAGCCCCAGGCGATAGTGAGTATGAGAGACGATTACTCTTTTTTTATTTGGCGTCCCAGTGCGCAAGCCCTACCTTGTACCGAAACAAATGTACCGCCGCAGAGAGAATACTGTTACATACGACATGCTCTCTTCTTTAATTAGACGACTCGTCTTTAACTTACAACGCTCTTACAAAGCCTAACATAGACGTATTGAGACTGGGAGTAGTTGTCTTCCTGTTGGCAGTAAAATGTCGCCCTGATGTTTGGGTAGATTCCAATACGAGCATGCCGATATTGATGTCATACCGGGTACATCAAGGGTCCATCAATTTTCGCACCATCGAAAAAAGTCACATTCCCGGAACATAGGTAAGGTTCCGGGAAGGTCATTTGATTACGGGTTATCAAACACTACAGTCTACTTGTAGTTAATAACCATTTGGCTAATGGCTTAGTAGATTTTAGTTAATTGATTTGGCTAGGTTACATAATACTAATAGCAGGTCAATGGCACATGCTAATGATGAGTCGTTTTTATCGTTCTAGTTATTACATTGGTTAATGAATTGGTCAATGCGCTATCTAGCTAGTTACCTGTTGGCTGGAATGCTACTTGTAGTTAATAAGCAGTTGGTTAATGGGTTAATTGATTTCAGTTAATTGACTCGGCTAGGTTACTTAATACTAACAGCAGGTGCTAATGATAAGTCGTTTCTATCGTTCTAGTTATTTCATTGGTTAATGAATTGGCTAATGCGCTATCTAGCTAGTTATCTGTTGGCTGTAATACTTTAACATTTAAGGTGTAAATTTGCTCATTCTACGACTGCATCGCGACTAGAATAGGTCAGAAGGGTCGAACAGCTGTCAGAATATTTCAATCTTTAGCTTGATCCTTATAGAGGCTTTAGAATTTTCCATTCTAATCCATATCTCGCCTGTCTAAAGCGCGGGTAATATAATTGGAGACCGTTACTTACAGAGGACAGCTCATGGTCGCCTTACCCCCGTGTCATGACCGGCCATACGTCATAAGGTATAGATCGCCTGGGCAGTATTGAGCGATTCTCACTTAACACCTAATGGAGTTAACCGGATAGTGGTGGGCAAGGATGTTAATTGGTTAAGAGCAAAAACGCAAGGGCAGTTGGGTTACATCGTGTATTCCACTGGGGTTTGGGTGAGTGGGTTTCATATTGTGCGTGGAAAAGAGAGTTAGGATTGATTTGAAGTCATCCCAGGTCACGCCGAACGATTTTCGCAGCAATTAGATTAACGCTTTATTAACGAGAAACCGGAGATTTATGTATTTATCTAGCACAAAAAACAAGATACAAGATGAAGTAAATTAAATTAAAAACACTGTGCAGGAGAAGATGAAGCCTTAAAGGCTTGTACGAGCCCTTCTCCTTTAACATTATAAAACAATCACAATTAAATTAACTGATTTCATACTTTCCTTCGCGAAGTTTGTATTTCTCTGCTTCCTGAATTCCCCCCATGTCCACCCCTATTTCCTACTGGCTCTCCGGCCAGATTCACAGACATTTGACTGTCAATCTCCCCCACCCACGTGCTATCAACCTACTCTGTGCTGACAGACCGGCACACAAACCCACGACCTTGTCACCCAAACAATACTTCCGTACACGACAGCAACAATGTGACGGAATCGCTATTGATATTATATTGTTTATATTAGTACTACAAATTTCTTCATCCAGATATTATGTTTTGTTTTGCTGCCCTGCAATTTCATTGGATGCCTTCTCAAGAATATATAGCGAGCCAGCTTTGCTTTGCGTAAGATGTCGATGATTGCGGACGGTCCCTACTCCCTTGATCCAATCTCTCACAACCCTCATTACACATTCTGAGAAACGACAGTGACGCCTTAATCTCTCACAACGTCAGTCCTTGGTACTCTGTCATTGTAGTTGCCACTGGGGGTTACTTAGCGATACATAATTACTCTACATTTAGTCTTTCATTCAACAAAAGACGGTATAAATAACACAAATGACATTCCTTCCACTCCACTGAGACCTGAGATTTATCTATGTATTGTTGTCAAGCATAGGCGTATCCGTATAGGTCACGCAGGTTTTCTATTATACAAGTATACACACTTAGAGGTTGGTATCCAGTGTAGAAGGATTGCTGTGATTTCGCTGCTGTGTCTACGATGTTGTCACTGTGTTTTCGACTGTCTGAGGACACTTCCATGTTGGAAACGTGACACCAGGCGGCCATGTCGTCCTTGGGAGTGGTCCGTGACCTTGGGGACCAGCAGGTTTACTACGTAGACGGCAAAACGTTCGCCAGGAGGGGAAAAAAGGAAGGGAGGGGGAAGGCTGCTCGACAAGATGGCCGGGGGCCGGACATGAATGGCAGTGTCGGCGGAGAGCAAGCGCAGGGCGCCCGAGAACCGTACGCTACCTACACGCCCCATCCCCGCGACGCTACTACAGACCTGGGACAAGTCAACCTCGTCTTTGTAGAAGGTAAAACAGAAGGTAACGTTGCCAAGCAGGAAGAATCCACCGACTGGGAGCCAGGGAAAGAAGCGCCACCAGAGGGGAAGCGAGAGAACTCCGGTACTGCATCAAAAAGACGGAAGCGACGCGATAGACATACGAGGTGCGTTGCCTTGGCCAACACGACGACACTACAGCGGGTTTTGATGGCTCTTGCTGTGGTGGGAGCGGGCTTATTTATCGCTGGTGTTGTAGAGAGCATCCTTCAGGCTACGTCTCATGTTGGAATGATCCTTCTGGCTGTGTCGTCTGCGTTTCTGCTGCCGCCATGTCTGTACCTGGCCTACATAATGAGACCGGACTGTTGTAATAAATATTGTAGGTGCCGCTGCTGTTGACCCCAGTCGGATAAAGTCCGCAAGGAAATGTCTGAGTCACGCAAAGTTGCAGCTTCGCATAAAATAACATTCTTAATATACATATAACATATCAGGAGGATATTGTCAAACGACATATAAAACTAAAGATACAACGAAAAATGACCTCGAATTGGACAAAATATAAGTTATTTTTGTGGAAAATATTTGTGTTCTCATCCTTGAATGTTATGTTTTAGGCCATATGGTGCTCGTACCAGTATTGGCTGTGTTACCGCCGGAGGGTAAATTCCACCGACACACACCTGTCATTTACTAACAATAGCGCGCGGAATGACGTCATCAAACATGGCGGGTCCCTAGCCCTAGGGTGATGTCCTGTGACTTTGGGTAAGCCGGGTCACTACGATTTTGATATTACAATGAACTTTTTATCGATTGATCTAACCCTGGGCGTCAAAGTTGTTTCCCAGTCAGTTTCCAGTATGGAAATTAACATAATGGATGGGGAGGGGTTTGGGGCGATTTTGCTGGAGATTTGTTACTACGTCTTTTGAGACTGACTGACGCGCGTTATGGCAATTTTATCTTTTTTATGGCTTCACTACTATGTGGTGAAGTCATATTGTTTTTGTTAATGTTTCTTCTCCTTCTCCTGCCATTTCTTTACATTGATTCAACTCCTTCATTTTCGGGCCAAATAACATTTTAGCATGAAGGTAGGGTGGGCAAATATACCCCCAGGCGTTTTTGTTTTTCATCTCATCTCTTCGTGTACTGAGATATTGTTTTGGGTGTCTGAGCTGTTGGTTTGTGTGTCTGTTTGTCCGCTATTTGAAGGAATTAAGGATTTCGACGACAGTATCAAGTCTTGCTGCTCAATGTGCTTCGCACGGGAGGAACTAAGTCTAACTAAGTAATCAAGTTTTTTAATGTGGGTTTGTGTGTCAGTTTGCAAATGAGTTGCGTAAAATTTTATGCAAATGAGTTGACTATTCAAACATCTAAAATTTATCCCAACTTCCCAAAACTTACAGACAAAAAAACGTTTTGTAACTTTTAACTTTCTTTTAACTTCCCAAAACCCACAAATTTTAGAAAAGGTGGGTCATTACGTCTTCTATGGTTTACAGAAGAGAAGTCAAACCCTTCAGACATAGTTTTAGACATAGCAATAGTTTTAGACAATTAGATTTCATTATGTACATTTTAAAGGTATATTATACTCTGTTTTATAGTTCTTTTATGTTTGTAACTTGCAATTAGCCTTCGGGCATGGATTGCAATAAACTTATCTATTTAATGGCATTATACCCAACCAAAGTGAGACTTCCGCTGTAAAAGTACCCATAAACACCATTTGCGTCACTCGCACTTATTCCTGTATTAAGTATCTAGCTAATAGCAAGAAGAGGCGACTATATGTGCCTGTAGTGTTTTGGAGCCAATGCTCAGACTTCTAAGAGCACCTTAATGGTGCCGTATTAGAAGCTTTGATGGTCCATATGTTGTTCACAACGCGTAGGTACACCGCTTTTAAAGCACTCCAAGCCGTGTCAATCTATTAAGCCCACTTTCCGGATCATCTTTCAAGTGAGAATTATCCACCTTCTAGAGGCTTCTACTAATGGGCTTCTGCATATGAATCAAACCTGTTTCACTTTAGCGCGGGTATTTGTGCTGTGTACATAGATTCTTGTGCCGTCGTGTTCTAGAGACCTAAATCCTGAAGATTTCTTCTGTTCTAACACCTGTTCAAGGTGTATTTGTTATATTTCGTAGCTGGTTTGCTGGTGGAAAACTTTGTTTTCCTGTAGCATCGACAACGGTCAGTGGACAGTCCTTGCCACAGACCGTGAGGCTTGGTGAAACGTAGTTCAGCAGTCAGTCTCCTACTTTGAGAAGAAGAAACGCAGAACTATCCTCGAGGAGAAACGGAGGGCGCCGACCATAGACTCATCGTTCCCCTGAAGCCACTGCAGATGTGAGTGCTTAATAGGCCTCGTCAGCTACCAGCGTGTCTGCAACAGAAGTGGAAAGACTCCCCGAAGTTTCAGCAAAGACAAGCCAAGAGTCGATGGATCTGTAAGGATGCCTTCCGCACGGGAATCGTTTATCCTGGCCATCGAAATCTGCTTCACCGTGGTCAGTTTGGTCGGGCTGGTCATTCTGGTCACCGGGATGGTGATGCTGTTCATGCAGTACGGAGTTGAGAGAGGCGTCGGGTTGACTGTGACTCTAGTCGGGCTGGGCTGCGTGGCGCCCGCCTTCGCGTATCTCACCATCGGTATCTGCGTCGTAGGCTGCCAGGAGGAGCCGGAAAGCCCTCTCTTCGGGAGGGAGTCGTCTCGCCGCCGGGAGGTGATCCGCCGGCGCCCGGAGGGGAGGACGCTGCTCCCGTGGTGAATCCTTCCTTCGTCTGCGACCAGGGCGACGCAGCGGGGACTCACCAGCATCAACAGAACGCAGAGTTAAACGTCGCAGCGGCGGTCTTGAACTTCGGCGAAGACGTCTTGCGCCTGGAGAGTCTGGAAGTGGACGAGGAGGGGTACGTCCTAGAGGTGGTCACGGTCCAGACCGAGTACGTGGAGATCGCGGAGGATGTGGAGAACGTCGTTACCATGACAACGGATGAAGAAAACGGTAAGATGGAGGACAAGTTTGATGACAACACTGAAATCAAGCCCGCGGTGAAAAATGTTACAGATGAAGACGTCATCACAGAAGATAGTACCAAGGACAGAACCACGCCCAATGATCAAGAGGACAGAGCCACAGCTGCAACAATAGTGGTCAAGCCACGCGCCCAGAAGGGGACGGAAAAGGAAGAAATGTAAAACATTATCTGCAGCACAAAAATGCCAGGAAACAGTAATAGTTTCCCCCAAATACTTTCGTTACAATTCGTGGAGTGACATCACCTTTCCTCTGTAATTATTTTCCAATTTATTTCACGGTATCTCAAACATCTTTTCATTTTTGAGGCGTAAAAAACGATTTGTTTTCAATCCAAAGCGCGGTTAGTAACCTTTGACTGTAGTGACGTCAGAATCTATCCCGTACCTGCCCGCTCACGCCGTGTACGTGCGTGGGCCCGGGGATTTTATTTATTATGATGCGTGGCGCGCAGCGCATTCCCCTCACGTATGCGGGTTGACATCTTTGTGTAGTGGTTCGGCGCTAACACGGGAAAACCATCATCATCATGTTGCCCTTCTACGATCCGGAGAGAGAGCTGATGAGGACCATTATGAAGTCCCTTCTCGCCATGATCACGGGGATAGGAGCGTTCTTGGTCGTGGTGAGCTTCGTGCTGATCCTGTGCAGCTCCAAGTCGGACAGGACGGCGAGAACGGACACGGGGACGCTGTGGGCGGGCGGGCTGATGCTTACCCCGGCTCTGCTGTATCTGATTTACGTCTGTTTAACGGCGAGCGGCGGGGACTGGCCCGAGATGGGGGAGGACAGCTGCGATAGCACGGATGGGGAGCTGTTGGGAGGCAGCGGGGGAGAAATGGCGGGAAGCGGCGCCCGCAGAGCCGAGGGATTGGACGACATGACGGATGGACCGCTGTTTCCATGGCAACTGCCGAGCGAGATGATGGGAGGCGACGGCGGCATGGGGGGTTACCACGTCTCGCGAGAGTTCAGGCGGGGGCGAGGAGGGGGGTTCTCGCCGGAGGGCGGTATACACTTCCACGGGGGGCAATGGCGGCACCACAAGAACAGGAGGAACGGCGGAAGACGGGGGGTGACTTTCGGAGGAGGCCACGGCAGACACGCTACGTCAAGAAGATACTACAGGTATTCATTTTTTCTTGGCCCTATAAAGTGTCAACGGGAACTTTAATAACAGGGCTTAATATCCTATGTGTATAGATTTATTGCTATTATGACTTAAATGATGCTAACTTTATCTTTATTATATATTTTGTCCGACCCTTGCCTCTTCCCTCATGACCTGAGTGAAAAGAGGCCTGCAGGCCGATTTAAACTTCTCATGAATAAACAACGGTTACAAATTAAATGATAAAAAAATTAACACTACAAAGGGTCAAGGACACTGAGGTCACATCATTTGGCACGTGCAGTCATAGGTTGCTCATAACTAATTTGCACACACTTTGCATAGGTAACGAGGTAGGACTCAAATTTTGAAATGTCAAAATCAGTGCACTTGGGGGATATGCATAGATACAAGTTCCACGTGTATAATAAATTCAATTCAAGTTGGAGCCTTGGTCTAAAGGGGCCCCAAACAATACGGAATATCTATTCGTAATTCATTTTGTCATCAACGACAGCTAGTTAGCAAAGAATAGATGTCGACAGCAGTGTGATCACCATTAACGCACGATCCCAATGGTCTATGTATATATGTATCGATCTATTTTAGCATCCCTGCGTGCTCAGAATAAGTAGAAGTACGGAAAAGATCGGCGGTATGCAAACATTTCTTCACGCCTGTGGTCTGAAGCTTATGCACACTTGAACGGAGTGCTGCGGTCCAGAAAATAGCCCTGCATTGCGGTAAATATACCCTGACCCGGAAGCAAAACAAGACCTGAAATCAAGCTGCTACCCCGCGTTAAGTGAGCAATACGTATCAGTTTACATAGCTGACAGTTCAGCCGACATCTTGGATTTCTGATGTGTTACGTTGAAGACTTGACTGTATAAAAATGCCGCATAGAAGAACGAGAGGGGGAGAATCAAGCTGGTTTCAGACGGCAAACGACGATGCGACGACGTTCTGGTTTCGTGACCTGATCCGAATGGGGATCTTCCCCGAAGCCTGGGGGCGGCAGAGGGTCCCCGGGCCGCGGTACAAGCCCTGGTGGTTCCGGGGGGAGCGCAAGGGGCACACGGTGGTCCTCATCGCCACCGAGATCGGCTTCATCTCGGCAATAATCGGGCTGATCGTCGGCTTGCACATGAACTACCTCGGCCCGATAATCTTCGCGGTCGGAATCATCCTGCTGGTGCCGGCAGGGTTCTGGCTGATCTGGGAGTTCAACATGGCGACTCGAGCAGACAGGAGGGAGAGACAAAGACGGGAGGAGGAAGAGGAGGAGGAGGGGGAGGAGGAGGAGGATGCTGATGATGAAGGGGAGGGGCCAGTAGCAGAGAGGAGGTACACAGCTGTAGTGTGCAGAACCGTGTTTTGTACAAAGCCATGCACAGGCACGGTTCTGGATAGTCCAAGTACACGTATCCAGAACCGTGCCTGGGAAAAATCAACGTTCTTTTGGATACGCGGAATCTATCTAGACCCGAGCCTGATCCTAACCCTAACTAATTCAGGCATAGAGCTAGATTGACACGGCTCTGGCCATGGATATACTAGCCTCGGTGTTTTGAGGCCTAAAATAGGTTGGGTACACCCTGTAAATCATGCAGTCACTGATTGTATGTAGGTGACCCTACCGGTTTCCCCGAGCATATAATGAGGTAATCCAATTATGTTTGTCTGGCTGGATGTGTGGTCTTTCTAAATGATATGATTCGTCTCTTTGCACGTGGAAAAAGATTTTATTTCATTAATAATTTGTGAAGCATTTTACTGATGTGATGTCTCGCGTAACGTTTTAAGTTAGGCACATGTTTTAGTTTCCTAAGTGGTTTGTATTTTTAAAGCATAGATAGGACATTGCATGCAGTGCACAACTCCCTTGTTTTTTCCGTTGATAGTGTGTTTTGTCTGATACATCTGTAAGAATGGTGTGCATTTTGAGAAACGTCTACCTGACCTGAATCGTGACCGCCATGCTGTATAATCTGACCCGGAAACAAAATAAAACGTCAGGTCGCCACCACTAGCCTCAAATTGCAGACGCCGTGGTGGCACGTCTTTTGTGAGTCTTGATGTCAAAATCTGATTTGAGACCCTAAGAAACGTTTTAGTAAATCGGAGTGACTAGGATAGTCCGGGTTCTGGAGACAGCCTTGGTCATGTTACTTAAAGTTTAGTTTTACCTTCTATGAAACTATATTTGTTGGATCCCGTCAGCGCAGAAAGAAAAAAAAATCCCATTACTAGTATTTTGTCTGGACAGTGACCGGGAAACAGCATTCCCTCCTGAGCCTAAGCCAAAAACAGGCCCATAGGCCTAATTCAAAACCAAGTTGAATCACATAGCCTGCAATAGAGGCTAAGCCATTACAACAAAGCTGCACCCATTCTGCCGACATGACTGCGAATCTAAGACGAAAATGCAGGAAAGCAGCAGCACAGAAGAACAGGAAAGGAACAAATTCTGCTAGTCTGTGTATGTGCCAGACTGTTTACGTGACAGGCAGGGGCAGAATACACTACAGGCTATGTCCTCGGCTCCGAGAGACACCCCCTAAGACAGACTCTGAGATGAATTAGACCCCCGGCTGCTAACGTAACTCTGGGATCGGGGCTTGTGGCTTACTCCAGCCGAAGGGAGTACTGTGTCGAGCCGGGGTCTGGCATCCAGGCTATCATTCTGCTGACAACAAAGATGCAACAGCACAGAAGAACAAGGAGAGGCGAAAATTCTGATGACAACAACGATGAGATGCCCCACTGCCTGAGTGAGCTTGTAAGGATGGGACTCCTACGTGAGGCGTGGGGGCGGCACATCCACAGCGCCCCGGGCTGGCAGTGGTGGATCCGCGGGGAGAGAACCGGACACGGGGCGGTCCTGATCGTCACGGAGGTCGGCTTCATCTCCACAATCATCGGCCTGGTGGTCGGGCTACACATGAACTACCTGGGCCCCGTCATCTTCGCGGTCGGAATCATGTCACTGGTACCTTCCGGGCTTTGGTTGATCTGGGAATTCAAGATGGCGACTCTCAAAAGGCAAAGACGTGAAGAGGAGGGAGAAAACGGAGAAGAGAGAGAAGAGGAAGATGGACATGAAGATGCGGCGGATGAGAGGAGGTACGGTACTACACAGGGAGGCCGCGAGGGTTTGAGGCCCAGAAGGGGTTTCCGAGCCCCATTAAATACCCCTGTAAACTAACTATGCCACCTAAGCTTACAAATGGCGTCAACCAATTTTTAAATGGTTTGATTTTTCTCCACACGTGTCGACAGAGCAATATGTGTATCTTTTAAAATTTCTCTTAATACAGTATTTTTTATTAATTACTTCAAACGTGGACATGGGGATGCTGGAATATGCTTTGGACGTGCCAGTCATATTAAGTGTATGTGACTCAGTATCCTTTGCGCCACATACTATGAATTATTAAACAATATCCGATACAAAGGTCCTTCTCCACACCCAACTAATACGTTATGTCAACACACGCGCCTGATAATTTATAAATTTACGGTATTATTTTTTGCAGTTTCGTGTTGGGTATGCAGTGCAATATCATATTGTTATTATGTAACCACATGGGTTGAAAGGGCCCTGGGGTCTTTACACTTATAAAACATTTATGTAATACCACCTAATCTCTGTTAGACATGTCATCCGCATCCTAAATGATTAGTAAGCTCGCATGAAAGTAAGCTGATGTGTGTGCCTATTCTGATAAGTGTACCAACTACGCAAGCACTGTCCATTGTCTATACTTGACATTCTATCCATATCCATACTTGCGTCACTATGGTAGTGTCTGTTTAGTTATTGATACGATTTAAGTGATATTTGTACGTGTGTTACTAGTATATTTACAATGAAAACTAAATGCACGAGCATGCATGAACAGTGAATACGGCAGGTTATTGCAAATTTATTTTACGGTATACATGGCCACCCACGCGATCTATGTGTGCCAACCATCGGAAATATTTTATTGCCCAAACGGCAACGTTTATGTCTCATTCCGGGGCTCGTACAAATCGATATCCTTCAAACTAGTAGGCCTCCTTAATTTTACACCAAACGTGAGGCCAAAAGGGGGTTTTCAAAGATATTTGTTGTCAGCGGGTGATTTGAATTTTAGCTATAATCTCCTAACATGATGCTGTGTGTAATTATTATTACTTATTTATTGGGCTGGCACACACTGCGAGGGGATCCCAACTAGCCTGTGGCTATTGCAAAGAGCTAAACCTTACTTTCAAAGACAAGGCGTTACTATGGAACTATCCTATGCTAGTAGTTATTGACTAACGGTGGTCACAGTCAGTCAATAGTTACTGCAAAGGTTCCAACAGACATCCCAAGGGAATTATCCCAGGCCAGTAGTTATTGTCACCGTAAGTCAATATTTACTGTAAACGGTATATGTACATGTATTTGGTGTCAACAAAGAATTTTATACTTTATTAAAGACTTTACCATGGAATTATCCCAGGCCAGTAGTTATTGACTAACAGTGCTCACCGTTTTTTTTTCAACCTTTATTTAACCTTGAAATGTACAGTACATGTGTGTATCAGTACAACTCTTCGGCCTAAGCCAGTCAATAGTTACTGTAAAGGATATATGTATCAGGTGTCAACAAAGAATGTAGTACTTTATTAAAGACTTTATCATGGAATTATCCCAGGCCAGTAGTTATTGACTAACAGTGGTCACCGTTAGTCAATAGTTACTGTAAAGATATATGTATCAGGTGTAAACAAAGATTCAGTACTTTATTAAAGACTTTGCCATGGAATTATCCCAGGCCAGTAGTTATTGACTAACAGTGGTCCCCAATAGTCAATAGTTACTGTAAAGGATATATGTATCAGGTGTCAACAAAGAATGTAGTACTTTATTTAAAGACTTTACCATGGAATTATCCCAGGCCAGTAGTTATTGACTAACGGTGGTCACTGTCAGTCAATAGTTACTGTAAAGATATATGTATCAGGTGTAAACAAAGATTCAGTACTTTATTAAAGACTTTGCCATGGAATTATCCCAGGCCAGTAGTTATTGACTAACAGTGGTCCCCAATAGTCAATAGTTACTGTAAACGGTATATGTATCAGGTGTCAACAAAGAATGTAGTACTTTTTTTAAAGACTTCACCATTGAATTATCCCAGGCCAGTAGTTATTGACTAACAGTGGTCACCGTTAGTCAATAGTTACTGTAAACGGTTTATGTATCAGGTGCCAACAGAGAATCTTTATTATCTTAACAGTAATCATGTAAAACCTTTCTTTCTGCAAGGAGTTGGAGGTGTTTTAAGATTCCATGTGCTCTGTAAGAGCCCTTACCGACGTACGTCCGTCTTTGATCAAAGCGTTTCCTCACACTAGGGTATACTTATACTAAGTGGATATGCCGGACGAGAGGTCACTGGTTCGACTCCTGGTATTCCAGGCCAGACGTTTTATCTTTGGCTGAGAGGAACTTAACCACACTTTTTTCAGTCTACCCAAGTGTAAAATGCAGAAGGATGGGCTCCACCTTCCAACACCATACTCAAGACACTGTGGACTTACAACAACTCATTGTACCTGGCTACGGTCCCTAAAAGGCATTTACCTTTTTTAAAGTTCATGTAATCCTAATGTATTTCTGTATGTTTCCTCACAGATCCCGGGACGGCGCCCGAGAAGACCTGCCCAGTGTGAGAGATGGCGGACAGATCCAAGTCGTCGTCCCATCACCCCCTCCGTACGAGGAAGTGACGTCACAAGACCGCCGCCATCTTGGAGACCAGAACGAGGCCAGCACCCCGCGGCCGCCGCCCTACGCCTCGGTAGCGGAAGTTGACGAGCGAACAACACGGCAGCAGCAACAACAACAACAGTCGTCTCGAAGCGAAGAACCGCGAAATTCCGAACAATGTCCTTCGTACACGGAGGCAATACGAAGCCCGACAAGCCGAAGTCCTGCCGAGGAAATGCCGTCTGAATTACCACCTGTGCCACCGCCTGCGTACGAAGAAGTCGTCAACAGATAGGGACAAAAACAGTCGCGAGCGATAGAGACAATACGCCATCGATGGTCGCCTATAAACTTCAAGACTGACTCCATCAAACAGACATTTCTTCTTTTTATGTCAGTCATTTTCGATGGAACAACTGGGCAGAAGTTGTTTCACATCAACGAATACAATTGTAAATCTTGGTTTCATCAATCTATTATACACCGAAATTACAGAGTTACAGACAGTTTCGCTAATATCCCTCATCATATTTCGCTTCACTGTTGAAGATCGCTGGACAGCCGTCGAAACGTCTGTTACTTTTTCCTTATTCTGGTGTGTTGATTAAACCAATATTTGTAAATTGTAGAGACTAAAGTTACAAAAAGCCGTGCATATACAACCTTGCAATCCATCGTTCCTTATGAAAAATTAATACCCAAGAAATCACACAGTAAGATCATGAATTAGAGCCTTTTCTACCAAATCAAAACTGGAAGAAAAAAAACAAAAAAGACGGAGTTTCATCTCCAAAAGCACAGTGTCAAATTGCTAATATTGCGTAATGTCAATATAGATAGGCTAGATAAGTTAAGAAAGTTATTTTCATGTCTAAAACTGCTGTACAGTTATATACGTAATGTCGTCTCCGTATTTAATATACAGTGTTGTAACCTCGCTAAGCAGACATTGGTGCGGCGTAAAAAATAAGGTATTCTACCATCTAAGGACATGTCACAAAGCCTTACCAGCGCCCAGAAAACGAGGTTAAAATAAGACTTTGATGTTTGATATTTGTAGGATCGATATCAAGTTCCATGCCACCAGTTAGGTATCATACAGTGTAACTGTCACGACTCGGTACAGAATTTGAAACTGTTTAAGAGGATATAGCCGTTTAAGAAGGCATAAAAAGATCAACCATATTATACTGGTACTTCCTCGAATTCTTAACTTAAGATAATAAATTGTCTATTAAGCATTGGAGTAATGTATTGATTGGACATGTTGCAAATATATTTGATGAAGTATTGTAAGAATACTTTTTGGGTCGAATGTAATCAAAATTTTCGTGATAGATTTAGGGCATCGACACAAGATATGCACACACATATTACGAATCTGTAAAGGTAAGGGTAAAGGTATGTATTATATTTACGTCGTATTTAAGCACACTGAAAGCTGACGGAAAGACGTAATTTGTCTTTCAGCGGCCTTTACGAAGTCGTAAAGTCTACTGAAATATTTTTCCACCTTTAATACGTCTTTACATAATACGCAAAGTTTGCTTAAATATCGGTTTTCGTGCTGTGATTGTTATTTTATAGCTTCCTGCAGAAGTATTTTGCAGTCTACTTTGTGAGGCCCATGGGTACCAGACAGATGTTTTTACTAATCAAGAGTCAAGTCAGAGCCGAAGGTACGACTCAAGGTGTTCCAATCGATAAGTTAACGGCCCATAAGATTGAGAGGGCTTACAGCCATATGCAACAACCACGCCATACACGTAACCAAGATCTGATGTTGCACTATGAGAAAACGTACTTACTTACTTACTTACTTACGTACTTACTTACTTACTTGCGAGACAGACTCTAAAATGTGATTCATTCAAAAACATGATTTGGAATACCGTGAAGTGAAATGAATCCCTATTCCAAATCGTGCGTGATCCATTCCAAAACATGATTTGGAATAACACATTTGGAATGCAACATCTGATTACATTACGTAGCTGAGAATAGTAATATGTTCTCTGGACTTTCAACATAACTCAACAATGACGTTAAGAACAACAAAAATTAAAGTATCAAATATCAACTATTGTTAAATGAATAAAGAAAGGACAAGATACTTACAATAACAGATGAACGAGTCCCAAAGCATCTCTATTTCACTGTCTGGGCTGCCCAACTGTGCCCTCTATCGGAAGCTGTTGGTTCTGCAAAATTATTTTTATGATTAACACTCGTCGACTTTCGCAAATGGGTCCAAAAGTTAACCGTAACTTTCATGCGTTCTATGATCACTCAACTAGAGGTCATGGGTTCGATTCCCGGGTGTTTTGTCCTGGAGAACTTTACTTCACTCGGAGGTCTCACTCCAGCCAGGTGTAAACAAGACTTCACAACAGACCACGATCATAAGAAGCCCACTCCGGCGCATCTGCTACCACAGTCCAAGCCAGGTAGGTGCAAAAACCCAAGGCTTTAAGTTTTTCTGGAAAGCAGCTAACACTTGTTACAACCCGAACCCCAACACATACGACACTTTAGTTTTACAAAAAAGGATCACTTTTGGGTAAGGTATTTTAGAAAGAAACTGATTTTGCAAAATATACCAAACTGTAGGACAGGCCAACTTGTCTACGATTCAGATGGAAGATGGAGATGCAATTTTTGTTGGACACAGTGATGGCGTCACACATCTACGTGCATACATGTGCTCTTTCTGTGGTGCCTACCAATCCTTACTGGATCTACCGTAGTACATGTAGTGCCCCATAGCAATGATCTTGTGAACTGCATATAGTTTGCTGTACATTATATGTTTTTGACGGCAAGGAAAGCAAAAGAGCACGTAATGATGTGGACGAATTCGGACCAATTCTATTTGCATTTTAAGCAAACTTCTACTAATTGTATGATAAATTTCACTATCATTTCTTGTGATTGGGAAGGACCTGTAGCAATTTTCTCAACCTACAGCAATTGCAGTACCAGTATCTCCTTCTGGTAATCTCCGAGCTTTTCTTGATTATTGTTTAGGTGAGCAAGACTGTAACCTGTATGGAAATTGTGATGACTAAGCAGCTTTTGCAGTTGTAGCAGTTCCTGTTGATTCTATAGGCGAGCAAGACGGTAAAGTGAATGAGAATGATGCGGCATTATCTAAGGCATCACCGTGTATGAAAATGATGATGCAGCAGAAGCTTCTGCTGATTAGGCCATGTTGATTTGATTATATGGATGACATCCGCGCGCGCATGAATTTTCGGCCGTTTCCAAACAAAAGTTTTCAACCATTCTGTAAATCGTTCCAAACAGTTGCAAAATGAGCAAAAAAATACCGTTAGTTGCCAAAATTAATTGAAAATGATACCAATGTCGTAGATTTCCAAAATCAAACGACAAAAGACGAAAATGTAAAGAAGTTAATTTGAACAGAAGATTATCCGCAATACCATATTCTGTGTCATTTGCTCAACCTTCATGACCACGTAGATTTCATGATAAAAGCAACTTTTCTTTTTCATTTTTTTTTGTATTCGCACGCTCGCATCAGTTTCGGGGTTCCCAGAGGATGTCATCCATATAATCACATCAACATGGCCTTACGAGAGTTAGAATGATAGAACAGTATTTGCCAGTTCTGCATGAATTTGAAGTTTCCTCCTTCTTCTCATAGAAAACAACTGCCTATCGTTCCAATCATGTCTGTGATTGTGTATTCACGCGGCATCTCTAAAATAACCCCCGTTCCACTGTCTTAGACTTGGTGACAGGAGGGCTATCCTTTCCCCCATCTACACGGTCCTACCATCCATCACTCCTGCCCATCCTCCGACCCCATGCATGGCCCCCTTCTGGGCAAATTATACGGGGGACGATAACGTGAGCACTTTTTGCATGGGAAGATGCACGGAGCTAAAACCAGAACCACGTGAAATAGGAGAAACGCCTTATCTCTTTAGCTCATAACCAGGCTACAGCAAGAGGAGGTTCATTAGATAGCTATATAGATGTATGTAATTTTTTTATTTTTTATTTTTATTTTTACGGACGACGATAACGCGAGCACTTTTTGCATGGGAAGATGCACGGAGCTAAAACCAGAACCACGTGAAATAGGAGAAACGTCTTATCTCTTTAGCTCATAACCAGGCTCCAGCTAAAGGAGGTTCGTAAGATAGCTATATAGATGTATGTAATTCATAATCCAGCCCAAAACTGAGATTCTTCCAACACCCTCTATGACAACGTTAAACACTCTATGTTGTAGTTTTCGCTGTTCTTTTTAGATCTTTTGTTGACAAAATGATGCGGTGGATTTACCAGGATACAACTACTAAGACCCAGATGTAGCTGTGTCCGGTCAGCCAATGGCCTTCAGTAGAAACAAAATATTTAATCTCCTGAAAGTGGATTGAGTTAAAAACATGCAAAAATACATGAAAACTAGAAAAGTAACATTTGCAAAGCAAATTAATGATGTTTACCTTCGCATATGGTCTTCTCTGTTATAATTAATTCTTACTCAAATACATTCACATACATGTATGTGGTGACAGGAGTCTAAATCCCTCCTACTATGAAATTCCAACATTGTGAAACCCAACACCAGTTACCATGGTGACAGACGTTGAGGCAATTGACCAGGTCACTGTTTGAAGAAGAAGAAACTGAGCAAAAACAATATGTTTTCCTTCCTTTAACTTAAGAGGGACAATGTACGGAACCCAACAAAAGTTGTAGCCACCGTCTTTAACTAACCTGCAAGTGAAATCAACCTAGTTCAGAAAAATGCGGTAAGGAAATCATGAATGCAATGTTCGATGCAGCATTCTTCTAAGACTACATTGCTCTTAGTCAATTACCTTTGGGAAACGAAGATATAATATTGACCTAATTGCATAGATGACGATATTCATAAGTATTTGCTTGAAATTGTCTCATCAACCGCATTCCTCATTAATAAAGACACAAATTCATTGGAAATGTCAATCATCACCGTGCCTCAAGAATGACCAACAGCTATTCAACCTGATATCAAGCTGCATTTCATATTTCTGACTGGCATCACATATTGACAGCTTCCCCCTTGCGCAAAACATCTTATTGGCGTGCAGTGCCCTGGGCGACCCGACCCTAACTCTCGGGCACTCGCTACAGCATCAGCCGTACTGACACGCGTACAGTATTTTGCAAAATAAATGTTCAAACGCTGATCTTGGAAGGGGAATTCGTAGCCATCTCAAATTGTCCCATTTTTCTGACAGTCCCTCTAGTCTTAAATTTTCCTTTATCTATTTCATTGTTTGACTCGGGCCGTGTGTGTGTGTGTGTGTGTGTGTGTGTGTGTGTGTGTGTGGTGTATGCGTCGCGTGTGTGTGTGTGTGTGTGTGTGTGTGTGTTTGTGTGTGTGTGTGTGTGTGTGTGTGTGCAAGTGTGCACGCGTGTGTTCCTCTGTCCTGCCTGCCAATACCATAACTCGAGAAGTCTTGATATTTGGTAGGTGAGTAGGTCTTGATGACACCTCGAATTGATTACATTTTGGCCCCCTGGCGGCTTTCCACAGTATTTCTTAAAACATAATCATATTCCTTAGTCAATCATAATACTCTAGTAAACTACTGTTTGGCGTAACAGTTACTGTTCCTTTCAAAGGTTTTATTGCTATGGTCAAGGGTGTAAGCTAGCCTCTATCAGGCTTCAGAGGCGACTGGAAAGAGTAGAAATTGGCCAAATAGAGAGATAACACGCCAGGTGAGTTAGTTCGGCAAACCGTACAACTATAGGGGCCCAACTCGCCTGGCACTTTATCTACCTATTTAGCCAATTTCTTTTCCTTCCAGTTGCCTCTGAAGCCTGGTAGAGGCTAGCTTATCTAATGGCCTCCTCTTTCCAGCCGTCTCTGAAGCCTGGCTGAGGCTAGATGTAAGCTACTAATTTGGATCTCTAACCCAACGGAAGTTAGTATTCCTATCAGTCTCCCTGTATCAAAGGCGCAGAATAAATCAGGCTAAAGGGCAGAATAAATGTTCCTGTAATATTCAGTATTTGCCCTATGAATTGGTGGAGGTCAGGAAGGGAAAATCAGATCTGTGTAATGTTTAAGGTGAGATCAGCGTAAGTCCCGTTTAATGGGTTACATTAGCGTGAAAAAAGACAGAATAGCCCAATATGCTTGTATGTACATATATATATCATTGTATTGTTTGCGTGTTTTTGTATATGTATCGAAAGCGGTGTT